AAGAGTGTAATAAATGTGTCTCCCCGAGAACACTGTTGCATTTGGCTGCTGCCTGTTGCCTGTATACTAACTACACATATTTGGAAATATGTATTTGTTCTGAAGGAAGTGGTACATGTCATAAAGGTCGTATTCTCTGCATTTGCTGAAAATAAAGGTTAGAGCTGTGCTTTATTTGCAGGTCAGTTCACATTTCAGTTACAGAAGTAGTAAATATCTCTGTCATACTGTGTTTCCTCCTTTTAAAAAGGCCAAGGAAATCAGTTGCCCTCTATCTTATATTGGTGATTTATAGCAGTATAAGCCAATGTAAAGGGAGAAGTAGTCTTCAAGTCTTATGTCATACTTTGTGATGGCCATTAAGAAACATGATCTGTCTACTAACCTGCTGATCCCACAGCACATTCACAACTGCAGTGATCCAAACTCTGGCTGACCACAGGCAAAAATATTGAGAAAGCAGCAGACAGCATTACATCTCAGCTTTTTCTCAGATACGTCAGTTTTAAATTTGTATTCCCTGTGGCTGTAAAGCTGTATCTTTGTAGTCTTAGAAGAAACAAGGTTAGCATCACTAGGCAAGTGCACTTCTAGCTTGCAAGAGCTCAGGTGACAATGCTTTCTCAAGAGTCTTTCCACAGTACCGTGGATTGCAGTATCACCAAGTTTCTTCTACTTTAGAATTAAGTTATTCCTTGTTTCGTGCTGATGGGATTAGTGACACAACACTCAATTCATAATAATGATACCATTTTCTTAGACTGCATTTAGATTATAAACACTTTGAGGCAGGAACTACCTCATTGTTCTATGGTTTTATATATGAGTTTGATCCTTCTCTACGACAGGGGTTCCTAGTCATTATGGTTATTAAAATAAGTTGTCAGAACTTGTTTAGAACAAGTTTGACAATGAAACCTGGATCTCTCTCTATACACACACACACACACTTTATATACACATGTATATATATTTAGCTGTCTTCCAAACTGAACTATACCACAGCCTTTCTACTTACCTCTTCCTACCGCATGAACATATGGTGGTGCTGTTCCCCGTATCTGAAAGCAAAGTGCTTCAGGACAATCTGGGATTTTAATAATCCTGCAGGTAAATCAAGGACAAGAGAAAGCAGCATTTTAAGTTAAGCTGCCAGAGCTCTGAACAGTTTTAACAGCATCTTTCCCTGGCATTCACAACCATGTTTTGGATTAAAGAAAGCACCTACATAGTTTACAAATAAGTAAGAAAGAAATAGACATGAAGAAATCATCCACTCCATTCTCTAAGGCAGAGATTCTCTTTGCTAATTAAAACTTGGCACTTCCAAATTTATTACATCTTTTACCATGGGACAGAAACTTTCTATGGTATTTATATTCACTTCCATTTCTAGGCAAACTTCAGTGCAGCTGTGCAGACATACCATCTTCTCCATTAAAATAAAAATAGATGGGAGAAGACATCCTGGACTAGAATTTAGCATCAAGTGCTCATTCAGATGTTCGATTCTATGGCAAATTCTGGGATTACAGAATCTAATAATGCACAAGACATTAACAGGGCTAAGCCTCATTATAAGATACAATAATGGACTGAAAAACTGTAAGGGATGATACCGTTAGAGTCATCCAAAAATAAGCCAAGCTTTAATAGGGTGGAAATTGCTTTCCCTTGGACATATATTAGAGTCTGAGAAGCTTAACACCTGAGACAGAATGATGATCCTTGTGATTCAGTTCTGTTTGTGCACAAGGAAGCCAAAAGTTAACTAACTGCAGTATAAAGAGAATACATCCCAACTTGTTCTAGAAGCACAAGGTTCCTAAAAACAACCTGTGACTCTTGTACCTCTTTCATTTATGTCATTTGTTTTCCTATTGAACAGTTTCTATGTAGCTAAGTGTTTACACAGTTCACTACAAACTGTAGAAGAAATATTTATTAATTGATGTTTCTAGATAATCTTTTTGTCTGCCCATCTTGGCACTTACTCTTTTGATTTGGTGGCTACCAGAAGCCTAAGTGGCCTTCGTGAGCAGAAGGACTGGTTTAAGATGGTTTCTACTTCTGAAAATGGGCGTAGGAATATTAAGTCCTCGTTGATGGAATAGATTTTTCTTCCCATCTGCAGGCCTGCCATCTGCAAATGAAACAAGCACCACAGAAAACTTTGGATCATTGGCAGCATCTCTGAAAATTCAGGCTCCAAGGTTCAACTGTTCTCTACTTATGGATGTTCCTAGGATTATTGTCATATGGAATACTGTATAAACAGTTTTGGTCCATCAAATCATTTCTCAGTCACCCTTAAAGTTGTCTGCATTTACAGAAAACAAAGAGATTTCATCAATATCTGTATAAATATGCCACTCCACAGATACATCTTACTTTGCTATGGATATATCTTTGTACTTTTCTGCTACTTTTTTTTTTGATAGGGACTATTAAAAAAGGAGAGTATATATAAAAAAAGGAGACTAAAAAATAAGAGACTATAATAGACTGGCTGTGATACTCAGTGAGATACAGAAGTGTGACTTCTCACAACTTACAGCTCAGGCACAGGGAGCCAATAAGATAGTTTTCAATCACTAGCCACGCAAAACCAATCTGTACCTAGTCACATAAATGTAACCTGTTTTTAAGTGGTGGTAGAAACCTGTCTCTGCTTTTAAATGAAGTTACTGGCTCTTTATCAGCCTAAAAAGCCAGAAGATTTTCTTTTTAATTCCGAGCTTTTGCACCTAACTTTAGTTATTTGGTCATGGCCACACGGGAAGTCAGAGACAGATCCGATGACAGAATTGACATCCCCTATTCTGCCCACTGGACAATAACCGTAACGATACCTCTTGATGATCTATACCAGTTAAAATGTGACATAGCAGCACTTAGACTAGGTGTTAGGATATCAAGGAAATATAAAATTCCCTTTAATGGAGTAAAAAGAAAAGAAAAAAAAAAATTAACCTCTCCCAGATTAGAATTACTTCCTATCACTTCAAGATCCAGCAGTTGGGCTTTCTTCTAAATGTGACAAATCCTTTTCCTGTTCTGCCTGGAATCAATTAACAAATTTCTTGACGTGGAAAAGGAGGTCTAAACAGATCTCCTCCCACATATGAAATCTGACCTGTTGCAAAAATGAATGCGGAAGTGTAGGACTGGAAAACCTTGCTGACTATGTCTATGCATGGCTTGGCTTTTCCTAAATATATTTTGTGGTCTGAAAGTCAGAGATCAATTTACCTACAAAAATCTATACTTTTTTTCTCAAATCAAAGCTATTAAAAGGAAAAACTACTAAGTGCCCTCCTTGAGTTAATTCTCAAGCTCTCCACAGTTGACAACATGCTCTTGTGTACCTGGAAATAACATTTTTCATCTTTCTTTTTTATAAATAATCTCTAAAATGGATAATAGGGATAAGTAGCAATAGAGATTTTAACTTAAGATAGAATTTGACAAACTTTGGTTTATAATTCAATGGCAATGTTCCTGCTATTTGCATTTACTTATACTGATGAGTTCATTATAAAGTAATAATTATTATATGAATTTCTAAAGTCATTATGGTTTAGGCCTGATTTTCTCAAAGTAGCTCATGCACATAATGTATATGCAATTAGCTAAACTCTTTGCATACCTGCAATCATTCTACCTGTGGGTGACCTCTTTATATTCCTAACTTATTGCTTGTGCATACAGGACACCTACCTATACACATAATCATAGCAAATCCATGAACGTGTGAGGCACAAAGTTGCATATTAAACCCTACAAACTAGCAACTTGCAAATAAAAATCTGCTACTCTACTGGGATATAACTAACCAGGTGAAGGAAGATTAGACAGCACGTATCTTTAAGAGTAAAGACCCACAGTGTCACAGAGCTTCTGAATAACGGATGCTCCTTATGACAACTCAATGCAGTTGTCTGGATCTGGGCCACTGTTTTTTTCCGCAACACCAGCAGCTTGCTATTTGCTGTTCATCTGCATGGCCTTTGGCCAGCTGGCTGCTTGTTGAACACGCTCTGTCCAAACCCTAGACATCTGCTTCCCAGTTGGCTGTTCAGAGTGAGACAGCAACCACACCTCCCAAAAGGATAATTTTTTTCACTGTTGCTTCCTTCTCATAAAGTATCATTCATAAACCAGCTCCAGGATTAAAAACCTATGGGAATAAGCCCAGCTACAAGTGAGCTGGGTTAGAAAGGAAGATAACGTACAAACTGAGGAGACATTGACTTTCTGAATGTCTTTCTGAAGACACGTGAACTTGGGATAGGCATGGGATGTGCAACAGTCCATATCAACGAACCACTGCTATATGATTTTTTTTGTGACCATCTAAGTGAGCTGAGCAAATGGTAATAGTCACAGGCAGCAGCTGCCAGGAGCACGGGGGCACAATTCCCACAGGCAAGAGTCCTGGGCTGAGAACTGCTCATCATTCAGGATCAGGAGAGAAAGTGCATGAGTAGTGCTCACGAGGGCACTATTCGATCTAAGGGCCAAAATGAGAACCTGAACACACATGTCAGGCAAAGAGTTCCCAAACTGCGGTTCAAGTACCCTATCAGTACAGGAATTTGATGTTCCAGCAATTCTTTTAAACACAGTTTGAGAACTGCTTCTGGCATAGACAAATCTGACAGTTCACAAAACAGTTTCTAAAAAAAAATCTTGAGAAGAAAAAAGCCACTAATAATAGAAAGAACAATGCTTGGCAAGTCTGATTTCAAATAAAAACCCCAAAGATCCTTGTTGCACATGCATGAAGTTCAATACTGTGTGCCACCACAACTTGTCATGACAATTTTTTTCCAGGTATACTAGGAAAAAAAAAAATCACAATCCCAAACTCAGACAGAATGTGTTCATCTTGAATAAACTTGTGCAAGTAATAGATTTGTTCACGCTTAATCAGTGAATCTGGAATCTTGTTCTGGCCTAAAGTCTGACAGTCCTAATGACTGCAGTGATGGGCACTGTGAAGCAAAGCTGCATGTCTTAATTTTTGTCCCTAAAGAGTGTGACAGCAGGCATAGAGTCTCTAAATGGCCTACAGCTGCTAGGCCACACAGAACTGCATGCTGGATATCTTTCTAGTATCACGAAGCAATCAAAAAAGCCCAAGAATATAATGAAATGCATTACTGTTGGACCTCAGGTCTTTCCAGGATGGGCTGACAGCCCTCTGGTTCAGAGAGATGCAGATTTAGGTTTTTTCTGGAGCAATATTTTAAGATCAAGTTGAAAAGAAGGCTCATGGTCACAGATGGTTTGTCTTGGAAGATCAAGAAAAAGATTCCTTAGAAAAGTGTGTGCTTCTGTCGTCTTAAAACATAACAGATTTGCAGGACATTCCACAGGCATCCAGCCAAAGAAAGGGCAGAAGGATTGTCTGTCAGGCAATGGTTTACAGCAGAGGTTTAGATTAATAAAAGTTTTGGCCAATCTATGTCGATTTTGAGCATGAGGTAGAAGACTTGTTTCTTTGTTGACCATAAACCAAATGAGAATCAGGAATACTGACATAATTTAATTCTAATATTAAACTTCAGTTCAAAATTCCTTCCCATTTGACATTCTCAACTTGCTAAAATCAGTCTGTCCACTTCAGCTGTTTGCATTGGGCGAGTCATCCAGGAATATTTGTAGCCTAAAGCAGTGACCAACAAATGAATGTGGACATTAAAAAATTCTCTAATGGTTGACTTTTAATGAGCAGTACTGTCTCTGTGCTGCCACAATTTACTGTGAAACCATGGACAAGTCATTTAGTTCCCTCCAATCTCCATAGGTGCTGAAAGGCACCTAAATAGCTTTTAAAAAATAGACTTTCAGTCTGTGCCTTATTTCAGTAAATGAAAGATCACATTGTGTTATCTACTCAAAGGTTTTGTATGGATAAACAAATGACTATGAAATACTCAGATCCTAAGACATTTGGGCCATCTATGTGCCTCAAAGAAACAAAGCAAATATATTTTGTAGAGCTGTTAAAAAATACCAGGGAGAGAAATGAGTGCATGTTTTTTAAGGAAAAATACAAATCTAAAAATATAACTTAAATCTGTTTCTCACTGAACATCTTTGCTATCCCAAAACAATGTTACTTTGCCTCCCTCCTCAAATGCAAGTTGCTAATGAACCTGAGATATGCTATCATCACACAGAGATACTGCTGCTGTCCTATCACTTATCAAAAATATTCAGCAAGTCACCCAAAGATGCCAAAACACTTAGAAATCTACAGAAACAGTTCATTACCACAGGAAATGTAGAAGATACCTGATTTTCTATAAGCTGCCTTTAAAATAAACAGAGCTTAATAGGATGGCTTTGTACTTTTTCAAAGCACTGAAATATTCTTAGGTACCAAACCCAAAATATTTATGAATGTCAGGCCATACCTCTGCAGAAGATCCTCGTCGAACTGACTTTACCACGATTGCTTTGTTCTTTTCTTCCATGTCAAATCCATAGTCATCTTCTTCTGGTAAAATCTTAAAAAGAGCACAAGGTAATGCTTCATAAATAGGGACTTAGCTGAAAAGCTGAAGGATGGAGATGAGAAATTGGACTTTTCATTGCAAGCCACGATTGCATAGACTTGTAGATTTTAAGGCTGAAAGCAACTATTAGGTCATTTGGTCTAATCTCCTACATAACATAAGCCATAAAATTTAATTGAGTTATTTCTGCATTGAGAAATTACTACACTAAAGTAGAATTTCCAGAGAGCTTTCTAGTTATGAACTGCAGTCTTTAAGAAGTGAAGAATCTATTCCTACCCTTGAGAGTTTGTTCCAATAGTTAATCAACTCTTCTATTAGTAACTGCATTTGGTTTTAACTTCTAGGCCTTCATTCTTCATTAGATCTTTCACTTTTAGGTTAAGGAATTCATCAATATTCAGTATTTTCCATCAGTGAATGCACTTACAGATCAAATTGTAGTCATTTACTTATTTTTAAAAATACATCCCACATACCCAATTATGAATGATCCATTGAGTCCTTCTTAGCTACCAGTTTCAAATAAATTGGGGACCTCAGGCCTATTTCTCATAGATGATACTACACACTACATAAATTACATCGTAACACTTGGTCTGCTCGCTAAAATTTTGGATGACCAGTGAGAGAATAATTTCTGACATCTATAGGTTCTTCCTCTAGAGAACAGGCACATAAGCTTTGTGTTAGGGAAAAAGTACAAGACTCATGTCCTGTGCTCAGTTTGCACCTTTTATGGTTGACAGAAGACTTGGTAGTTCTTGCTCCTGATAATCTGCTTCCTCTTATTTGCACTGAGGTTACACAGACCTGTCATATAAATATTTTTCATAATCATATCAATCATGGCAAATATTAGTTTCACTCATCCTTTTCTAGTAGTTTATTAACAATGAAAGAAAGCTTAACAACTCACTTCCAATTTTAAAAAAATAAAGCAAGTCTGGCCACTGGTAAATGGACAAGTGGAAATTCTACCAGATAAACATCTTGCATTTGAGCAAACACTACACATTTAAGAACCATCTGATAAATTCTAATTGAGTTAAAAGGAAAAACAAAGCTTCTTATAATCTAGCATGCCACTGGGAAAAAAATTACTGAGAATTATTTCCTTGATTCTGATGATTCCTGTACTATTTTAAAATACTGTCCTTTTTCTATTGAAGTCAATGTCATCAGCCTTTAAGCTTTGTCCTTCTACAGGAATTCACCTTAGAAAAAAAATATTAAAGAAATAGAATCATTCTTTCCTGCAGGAGCCATGCAGCCATGTTAAAATAATGCATGACATAATATATCTGCAGGGAAAAAATCCTCATCAGATGATGTTCAGATTAAATGACAGACAGGAAAGTAAAAAGACTGAAAGGTAAGTTTACCATTCTTGGATATTTCTAACAAAATAGTTTCAGAAGTTGCTATTTATGCATGTTTAATAAAAGGACAGCTTAGAAAATTGGGGATATCACCGGTTAGATTTTTAGTGTTGCAAGTGTAATGAGTTTCAGTCCAACACAACATGTACTTTTATCACTTCACATTTGGGATTGAATAGAAAATTTCTAGGATAGGTCTCCCATCCAATTCTCATTTTCAATTTCTTTTGTTGCATTTTGAAAGCATATGTGAAAAGATATTTAAAAATTTGGAAGCTTTGATTTGTCAAACTTAGTAAGCCAGTAGCTACACAAACTTACATGATCTCTTGGGTGCAGCTATCATTACTATGCATGAAGATCTTTTATATGCTATCATTTTTATTAACCTACCTTTCTCTGTTCATTAGTCAAAAATGTATTGTTTGAAAGCAAAGAACCAAAATACTTTTAAGAAATCCCAAGTGCATCAACATCAGGAACTTTATCACCACGTTGTAAAGAAAGAAATCTCACATTCTGTATACTGACAGAAAAGGTAGATTATGGATAATATTCAATATGCAATACTAGGAGAAGGCTATGATTCATTCTTTATTATGAAGTAGTAATACCTTGCAATTCTACAGCTGAATGCCATTCATCCCTAAGGAGTCCAAAGCAATTAACTAACTTGCCATCTACAAGAATTATTTCTGTGCCCCTGAAATCCAATCAGTTTTTTGAATGTAAGGCAGCAGCTGTTTAATCTTGAAAGACAACCATGTTAAAAAATGAGACCATATGAGAAATAAGCATGTTTAATCAAAACCAGAGGGCAAATGTAGTTGGAACATATTCAAAGAGAATTTTGACAGAGATGGGGGGACAGAGTGGGGAGAAGAAAAGCTATGCAAAGAAGGGTCTATTACACCTGTATCTGTTACATTCATGAACCATTTTTGGCACATGGGTCATGATGCTCGTGTGGTACCTCTCCATTTCTCCTCCTTCCTGTACAAGGAGGATTATAGAATCAGAAAATGCTTGTGACATGGGGATGTTCAGTGTCTATGAGGGGAGATTTGACAGATTTCCAGGACAATGAAGATGACAGAGATGTGAAGTAGCTTGATGCTATGGGGTAGCTTCCAGCATTGCATCACGCTAATGTCATGAGAGCACGACTTAAATGTACAGGGCATAGTGTCTGGTTTACCCACCACACTTGCTGAGCCCTCAAACTGCATTCACACAAAGGGCTTTGGCTGGGCACTAAGATGCCCCCAGTGAAGGAGGTGAAAGAACTGGATCCATTTCCCTCTTGGCAGCCTCCCCAGGCTGCTTCTACTGTTCACGCAGAAGCAGGAACTCTCAGCCTAAACTCCTGGGGAAATCGGCAGTGAAAGAGGTAGCATAGGCAGATCAACCACCATTTCTTAAACTATGGTCCAAGATGCACATCCTTTTCTCACAGCCTTACCTACAGCTCTCCAGCACAAACTCTTCTCTGTTGGACACACTTGAACAGTCTGACTTGATTAAGAATTTCTTAAGGAGCAGTGACTTATCAGATAATGCCAAGTCTGAATGCTTCACAAAACTGATGAGGTTTCTATGGCCCTCAGCAGCATTCATTTGAAGGGACCTATTTTCCTGTCACCTCATCTCCCAGGTTGGTCCAGTCTCCCAGCCTTTCAAAAGTCCAAAGCTCTGGGGCACTACAACAAAATTTGAAAAGACAGAATTTCTTTCCAATGAGGAGCTCCAGAATCTAAGTCACCCCTACTGCTATTATCTTTAAAGGTATGTTTTGCCACATTAGCAAAATAGGCTTAATACATACAAAATGGCTCAAAGTTTCTTCTGGTTTGTGAGCTTTGAAATTGAGCACCGAAATTGAACTGTCTGTTCTGAACAGTGAAAGATTTACAGCCTAAAGGATGTTTTTCACTTCAGAGTTCACTGTAATTTTTAGTATCCAAATCCACTCAAAGCCTTTATCTGGTCACATACCTGGATGATGGATGCCTCTTTGGTACTGACTTTTGCCAGCCTGTCTCCTTGGGAGATCAGAAATCCCTAGAGGATGGGTTCTCATTAGTGGCTCTGTACCCAGGGGTGTTTTAAATCAATGATATGAACTCTCAAGCTACAATAGACTGTGGTACTAGTATAATGAAGAACAAAGGGAAATGTCTTTTTTGCTCGCTCTCTGCTGAAATTTTGCAGAATTAGGTAGTTTCACATTAGCACAACACACAAAAATAATTCTCCTGGAATGATTAAAGATGAAAGACATTTTTATTAAGGACCAAGTATGGCTTTATTTGAGTAATACAAATTACTATTATTTATTCATAGATAGAACAGGAGAAATGTGTTTTATAGTTTTATGAGAATTTTAGGAAGACTACTACATTTATTGATTAGTTGGTTTAAAATGGAGAAGACATGAACTCAAATGATAATACTACCTATTACCTAAAAACTTGGTATCTGAAGTGCTGAATTGTAAGGACACTTCCATTTTCAAAGCTGATTCTAAATGTAACAGCAGTAGCAAAGCCCTGTGGATAGATGAGATTTAGCATCCTAACTTTCAGATGGTAAACTGAGGTATGGAGTGACTTAAGGTCTTTCTCAGACCACACAGTGAGTTCATGTGAGAAGTTAAATTAAAACCCAGGTAGCTCTGACTTCTGTGCTCAAACCATTGGCTTTCATTGAATATGCTACAGTACTCAGGCACCTGCATGAGTTGAATTCCAGGACGTGTGGGGGACAGCAATTACTCTCTCCTGCAACTATTGCGACACACTACTGACAGTAAGAAATATGGGATTCCCTGGAGGCATGTAGGAGATATCACAGATCTGGAAAGTTTACGAGGTTTAGACTTAACAGTCCAGATCTCCAATCCAGCATGACGGTTTTGAGAACGCTACATAAAATGTACAGAGGCATCATCTTCAGAAATCACTGGAAATGCTTTCTTTTGAGATCAGATAAGTGATACACTGGAGTCTTCTGAGGATTCTAGCATTGTATGTGCATTAAACTTCTTAGGAAACTTTGATGAGGCCCATCTCTACAGGCAATTATCCTTGTCTGATACTCAGCTCCAAGCTACCGGTTTCATTTTGTGTTATGGTTGGCTTGGGCTAACAAGTAGAGGTGCTGATCACAAGTTAACAGCAACATTGCAGTAACCAAGTCACAATGCTTAGAGTCAATCCAAAATCCAAATTCTCTTCAACTATGCAAAGAATGTTGTATATTTTTTCAGTTTGTCAAGATTTATGTCCTTCAATGAGAAACAATTGCACAAATAAATGAGTATTAAGTTTTGTTTGAAGTGCATTTTTTCAGACTGAAAGCACTTTTTTCCTTGGCATTTCTAATGATGTAGTTGCCAAAGCTTCTGTTTTTTTCTGTTTTCAAGGGCAAGCTCTCCTGTGATAAAGCAAACTTAGATGAAGAGGGTAGGGGAAGCTGTCCATTAAACAGCTAGGATTTCATGGCAGTAGAAAAGCATGTTTCAAAAGCCAGTGCTGAGAAAATTCCATTAAACTTCTTATGGTGGGATTGGGGGATGGGAAGGATCAATGCCCTATCATGAGTCTAAAGAGGCAAGTAGTGATGTTCCACAGACAGGAAAGCCTCAGGATTCCAGCTGCCCAAAATTGCTAAACACAGACTAACAGAGAAGTCAGGCACAAGTTTTTGTTATGAATAAGTGTAATGCATTTACTGTACTGCTATTTGTGGGATCCTCTTTACAAACATTCAGGGCACTGCTAATTAATTTGTGAAAATGAGGGCAACTCAATTTTAGCATGACTACTACTCATTTGACAAAATCTGTGCCCTCTAACTAGGAGATTTCTTATTCAGCATGTGCTGTTCATTTCGGATTGTTTACTTTTTGAGATGGGACTGTATTTTGACTGAGGCTAACTGATGCACTTCACAACTACAATAATAGTAATATTAAAATTATTCCTGTTGCAAGTATTTCAGTTACCAAATTATGGAGTGACTAGAAGGACCAATTAGGGATTACAATTAATCACTAGTAAATAGTGCATGTGCAAGGTTTGCTTGTTTGTTCTGGCTCTTTAGTGACTACTATCAAAGAACTTTAAATCCCTCATTTCACAGCTAACCTATTACCGTTGGGTTTTTGCATTTTAACAGAAGTGCCTTGAACTGACAGAAAAAAGTGGAAGAGACATAATAATCAGTTTCCTCAAACTGTCTTGCCTTGATAAGGTGGAAAATTAAAAATACCTGAACAATGGCAGTTCCCACCAACTTACATGAAACTAATTTCTGAGTGCTCTGAAAATCACAATAAAAAAAACAACCCACAAAGTGTACCACCTTTTAACTGCTTCTCTTTATCTAACAGCTCTCCATGAGGATAATCATATTAACCAACCTGACCCTCTAGTCTCTGGCACTGGATGCACAGAGGAATAATTTTGAGGGACCATGGCGCTGTAAGTATTAGTTCTGGCCATTCACACAAACACAGATTGGTCTCCTGGGAGACAAGACAACAGTGAGACAGTAAAGTTTGTGTGAATCACAGGAGAAGTTTTCCCGTATAACGGACCTCTGGATCTTTTCCAGCAATTCTGCTTTTGTAGTTTCTGACCTGAGTTTATATCCTGCTCCTGCATTCTGCCAGTGTTCAAAGGGAGAAAAAGATGGGCCTGGAGCCACTGGTAGTAAACACGGATCACAGAACAAAGAGTCTGCACCAATCCCACTACCAAGTCTGAACAGCATTAGAATAATCCCAGTGCAGTAACAACTGTGATGGCGCTTAGTGAGGTGGGAATCTGGAGGTAACAGTAATGTTGCAAAAGCATGAACATAAAGAACAGTATTTTTTGGAAAATGGTTTCCATAAACAAAGTAAAGCTGATACTTGATCCAGTAATGCAGGGCATATTCATGTCGCTTAGACAATGATATCCTGAAATGTCTGTGTTCTTATCAGTCTTTTAACTTGCACTGAATCTACTTCACATGTAACAGTGTTTAAACTGTGTTTAAACTTGATGGCAGACCTCTCCCAAGATAGTAGTGCCCACTATGCTTTCCTCCACCACACCAACACTGTGGTGCCTGCTCAGCAAACTCAAGAAACACATGGTGCCTGCTAAGACAACATCTCCAGCTCCCAGCTCGCTTCCAGACTCTCTCAAAGGCTTCATGGGAGCAGAAAGGGGTTGGACTGTGAACTGGACAAAATGGTCCTATCTCCGAGTCTCCTCTTTTCTTGAGATGTATCAGAAATAGGGAGGAACTTACTTGCATTTGCACATGTGTGCGTGTGAGCTGTGAATCCAAAGCTCCCAGGTACTGCAGGACGGTCACATCTGCCACTTACAGAGTTCCTTCATACTAGAATAAGCTATGTGGTCTGCCAGGCTAGAAAAGTCAGAGCTACAGAAGTTGGAGCTCTACAGCAAAGTAGCTCAAGAATTAGTATTTATGCAGTGAAGAAAAGGCTAGCTATAGGTGCAATTCCCCATTTCAGTTCTACTCCATTATAATTTTCCTTCTCATTCTCCTGTAGTATAAACTGCTACCACTTTCACAGAAACATCAAGGTTTGCATTTACATATTTCTTTCTTTCCCAGGATGTTTTCCACAAGCTTGAAGTCATTACGTAATTGTTTGCTCTTGGAACTGGTGCCTTCCATCTCCTCATCAGCATAAAAACGGAAATATAAGGATTCATCCTTAAATTCACTTTTCTCCAGGACTGGAAAAAATATGTATGAAATACATACATGCATTTACACAGAGGGAGAAAGAGAGAAACAAAAAAGAAAGTTAAAGGAAATCCTAAACATTTCCCCAGTCTTTACAGAACAAAGACCAGATGCATCCCTATCAACTAGCTATTCAGCTCTATATTTTTAAGCTACTACTGTATTTTAGGGGTATACTGTTCCTCACGAAGCACAGTAGCTCATGATATGAAGTTGGACTTCCCTGGCATGTAGAATGCATATAAAATGCAGAAGATCCTCTTGGAAGAAAGATGCTACTCAATACCTTATGCTCCTTTCCCATGTCAAAATTAATACAGTAAAACTATTAAAAAAGAGGGGTAAAATGGCTGTTTAAAGGTGAGCTGGCTAAATAGACTAAGGCTTTTCAACTTAAAAAGGAATTGAGAGGGAAATGAAATAAAATATATAAATTTATATATATAAAATCTATAACATTCTGGAAGGCATGACAAAGTTCTTTAACATGTTTTCACATATGAGACCTGGGGGCTTCAAACAAAAGTAGCAAGTGACAATTTTAAAACCTGAGGAACAACTTCCTCATGCAACATGTACTTATGCAAAGGAACTCCTTGCCAAAGGATGCTATGAATGCCAAAAGTCTACATGGGCTCAAAACAGATCAAATTCTTTAAAGAAAAACAATTATGCTTTCATTCTTATCAAGTACTATGCAAATTCTCTATTAGTTATTTAGAATAATCTGCTCTCAAAATCACTATTCAAAATATGAAAAGTAAATGTTATTTATGACTAAAACTGGATGTTTCATTGGACAAACTGTGTTTTCCTCTTAGGACTTTGTGCTATTTGATACTGATACAGATGTGGTTTGTTTACTTTCCCAGTTTAGCAGCAGCATCACTGAGGATGGATGATGTCTAACTTGGCAATTTGGCACTTCAGATTTGGGAACTTCAGAGATTCAGCACTAAGGATTGTGCTTGTTACCCAAGTGGCAAGAACTAGGCAATTTTACTTTGTACGTGACATTTTTTGGTGATATTTCAGGACAGTACTTGTCTTGTGCATTGGTCTGATGACTCTGAAAGAGATGCAGTGAAAAAACATTCCCCTTCTAGCTTGTTTAATCGCTTTAGGGCTCATCATAACTATTAGCGAGGGGATTCACTTGGGAAGGTACTTAGACATTTTGTGTAAGCTCGAAGACTGCTTTTTAGAAGGACCTGCTGGGATACCTGCAATTGTATACATGTCAGCGTGTACGGCACGGCCTATAGAAAAGGGATTTTCAGACAGTCAGCTTATCCAACTGAAGTAAGAGCTCCTTTAATTGGTTGTGGTAAGTAATATTGATGCATTACCATGATGCATGAAGCCGTTATTGCAGAGTCCAACACCCAGTGCGACAGCTTCCTCCCGAGTCTGACAGTCTCCCTAGAAACAAGAGGATGAATATTACATCTCAGACAACTTCCTAAGCTAAATTATTCCCCTTCCCCATTACAGAGCTTGTGGCTCTGAAATTAGCAGGATGCTCTTTGTAGCAAGAAAATAAAATAGCTACCCTGTTGCCCAAATCTCATTCATTCCTATATATAGCATCTCTTGCCTCCTACAGGAAGTAGGAGGACAAAGACCAGGATTCTGGAAAGTAGCTGTTTAACCCACAAAGGGACATAATATCTCAATGTACAGAGTTTTTATTTACAACGATAGTGTTGGACTTCAGGACTCATTAGCCACAGACAGTAAAACTCATTCTTAGAGAGAGAAGATGAGAGATCTTATCTATATTCAACCAAAGGGAGAAAAACCTGAGTAAACCCAGTGTATGTGAACTCCAAAGGTCAGACTGGTTAAAATGGCAGTGGCATTCTTTTCTTACACAGCAGACCTACGAACAAAGGCTTCAGTTTTTCACTACTTGAAGCCTTCAGTGTAGTATTTCGAAACAGATACCAAAGGTGACTTGGAAATTTACAAATTTACCTAAAATGGCAGCATTAAATTTTGCATCTACAATTCAGTTAAAAACAAGAAATACCTAGTTTTCTCTAGGTATCTGCTAATTTGCAGCCAGAAGTGAAGACTTTACAAACATGCTGGTTCTACTTTTTAGGCAGACATATAAGTTCTAAATAGTGCTGGTAAAAATCAGCAGGCCCTATTGGTCTTATCCAGATGAAACCCATTGTTAGCACTGTCACTTGATGCAAGATGACCTGCGTCCCAAATGGGCACAAGAGAACCTGGGATCTGCTCTCTCACTAAGAGCAGATGGTGAGCTCATTCCAGCAGGTCAGGACCTGCTGCTTTGGCAGAGGACCAATTTCAGCACACTACTTTCAGTCCTACTAAATTAGAAGCTGTATCCTACACAAATATTACACCTTCTTTTTGCCCCTCCATCTGGAGAACTAGATATCCTGAAGCTCTAGCAGCAACTGCAGAGTAGCATACTGACTTTGTTTTAAGCAACCCAGCTTGCAGACCAAGAGCCCACTGATCTTGTCAGCAGAACATCAGTCATACTGCAAGTCCTACTGACAGCAGTAGCTTTTTGCCAGGCAAATACTGGCAAAGAACATCACTATGGTGTAAAGATACTATTTAAATACAGGATAAAACAGGATCAGCTCTTGCCAATCGGCAGCACTACTGACTTTTGTTGAAGAGATTTGCTGAGAACACAAAAGAAAAAAAAAAGGCATGACATTTACAAATTAAGAACTAAATACTGTTGTGTTGGTAGGAAAAGGACCAAGGTAGTTTTGGAGGAACCGCATGATCATGTAATCACACAAGGAAAGCCAAGAAAAAGGGTTTAATAAACCTGAAGTTTAACTGTTACTATAAACTAATTTCAAGTCTTCGTAAATCTTTCCTCATTTTCAACATCCTGTCATGCAACAATTCTCAACACTCACTTTGTGTTACTTTATGAGATAAACGGATAGTTTATTTTACAGAGGATGGGACTTAAAAATCTAATTTATTCTTTCAACTGTAAATAAACTGGAGAGAAATGCCTTCTAATGTTACACTCTTAACCTTTAGTAATCTACTTGTGTTTTAGGCAACAAAACCTTTGTGTAGAAAGGCTCTAAACCAGACTTGGCAACTTCTGATGATGTTAACCTGGCCACAAAACATTCCCCTAGCAAAACAGCATTCTCTAATTACAAAATATCATTTAAAATAGATCATTTCAGCTCCCCTGTAAGTACTTCTAAATGTTATATGGCAATTTGTACAAATACAATGAAAGCAGTAACAAAACTCTTAAGAAAAAAGAACCACTTACAATCAATAATCTTGACAGAACGTGTCTCATAACTTTTTCATACAGAAATTGGATGTGAAAATAGATTCACTAGTTTTGAGAAGATAATTTAGATTTATTCAAATGCAATCACTGCATTTGAGTCAGCAGAATTACAGAAACAGTTTACAGTCAGTACCATAGTGAAGAATCATGTCTCCAGAGCAGGCTATTATTATTACTATTACTACTGCCACCATTACTATTATTATTGTTGTTGTCTAGTTCTGGTGATGATATGATGTCTAAATCATGGACCCTAATCATGAGCCATGGTTGATTGTTTTGAGATGCATAAGCCCAACAATTAAGATTGTCTCTGACCTAGATTGTTTACAACTCCCATGTAGGAGAAAAGAAAGCAGATGAACACAGATAAGTTAAGAACAACCAAATCACTTTTAAATATTTTGTTGATATCATGGAAAAGGAGAGTCTTAAGATTATGAAGTGCTCCTTCCAAGTCGGAAGGAAACCTAAGGTAATGCAATGCACAGAGGTGCAATATGTACTGCAAGAGAAAGAAACAATGGATGGATGGATGGATGGAGAAAAAGACCTAAAGATTCTTACCAGCCAGTTTATACTTTGCGTTTGTCCATTTACTTCCATTTTACCTTTCATAAAATTGCCATTCTAAGTTTCTTAGACTTAGGACTAGGGATTCAACACTGGTAGTGTTTTACCACAGATCATTTCTGGAGGTCTGGATATAAATTTTCAGCCAGATGACAGAAGTACTGTTATTGTGGCAGTGCAGTCTTTTAGTGCACCCTCAGTAGTACCTAGGATTCTGAGAAGTGCAAGAGCTCTGACATTTATAAGTGAGGTCTTTATTCCTCTTTGTTCTCAGCCTACTGGCAGTGGGAAAAATATTAGGTTGTAAAATGAAGTTGAGAGGATCCAGAGTCAATGAAAGAATAAGCCCCTTCCCTTCAAGGATTACTTCTAAATATACATAGAGACCATAATATAATTCACAGACACTTTCAGTCTAAATCCATGGATATGGATCAGGTATTTCTCCTTTCAGGCTCTGACTGCTGAAACCATTTCTCTGTTATATCCAAAGGGTCACTAAAGTAATGCCTATGGAGAACTCTAATACAACATTATGTTTTCCAGGATTTGACTTTGTGCCTCTAGAAACATAATTTCCATAATTTCCAAATTTTCCACTTTGTGCCTGTTTTCCAGGATTTGACTTTGTGCCTCTAGAAGAGGCATAAACACTTCCATCTCCAATCAGCACTTATGCTCATGTGTGCTTTCTCCACCGTCATATCTAATGCTTTATTTCAGTGTCTCATGCACAATTTCCCTAAGACATGTTATGGGGATAACGGCAATAGGATCCAGCTATTGTGAAGAGCTGTAAACAATAAAAAGACATCATTCAAATTCACCATTAAATCTCCAAGTCATTAGGAAATCCCTTGACCATCCTCTCTCACATGCAAAAACTCCCTCATAGTGAATAATCTGTGCTAGCATATCACAGGGCACTTTAATTAATAAACCTGATAGTCAGAGATGCTCAGCTCCTGCAGACCCCGATGTCTACAGAGCCACAAATGCACTGCACATCTAATAATAGAGCTCTATTAATCCAGCCTCAGACTCTGAGGGCATACAATATATAGGGGATAATAACATTTATCCCATTTGAATACAACTGTTCAAATGTACACAAGATTAAGCCTTGTTGGGGACCCAATTTATCTCTTCTCAGAAGTATAATAACCAACAATTTCCAGGTAGGAAGATCAGGATACGAAATACAGTTGACATTGTTTCTTTGATTATAAAAAAAGTTCTTACTCTCTTGCTCTGTTTAGTCTTATGAATTTTGTAAAGGTCAATGAAATGAAAAACAGGTTTCTTATCAGGGAGGGCTCCCACTCGCATTTATAGTCTAAATTGCAAACGGAAATGAGAAAGACTATCCTTCAAGACAGTCATCCCTATGCCACTAAATCTAACAGAAACAATAGTCTTCACTTTTTTTTGTGCACCATTTCTAAACTAAAATAATGCTGCAAATTGATTGTCAGAAACAGAAATAAATATATCCCAGCATTTTTGTGTAACAGGTAGTTATCAGATCAGACACCATCACCAAGATTTTCAAGAACAGATGCCTAAAGTCAAACTGAAAGGTAGATATTTGAGCAGTTAAGTAAATGCACTACCTTGCAAAAAAGCTGAGTATTCATCAGCTCCCACTAAAATCTGTCGTTAGTTAATATGGCCAAAGTATGAACTATTTTCTAGCAACCATTCAATCTAGTATGAAAACTCCAAGAAAACCCTCATGAAAATTACTATTTGTAAGGATCTATGAGCAAAAATTGATTTAGCCACATAGACAGGAATTCATCTAAGTCATAGACAGTGATTTAAATGTTTAACAATGTTCCCTTTTAATTGAGCACAGAAGAAATTTCCCTCATCTTTCCATCTGTATACATGCACATATGCACACATATACACAATATAAATTACAGAGTCTTCTGTATCTCCATATCTGGCTTTAGTACATTCTGGTTCAATCTTCATGTAAAGTTCAGTAAACAAGAAAACTAACAGCCAGAATAACCTCCCAGAATGAAGAAAAATGGGGACCAAGAGCTGATGTTTTACCTTGCTATCTGAGTCTTTCTACTGCCTACAGCTCTATGATTAAGTGCTACATTGGCCAGATTAGCCTGATTACATCTCTCTTCTTTGGCCAAAGCAGATGTTTTTTCCTCCCTCAGCTTTCCATGAATAAGACCCCATTAAATCACATGTAACTGATACGACAACCTCAGTACTAATATCCTTGCTCTCCTCTATACTCTTAATGGGAAAACAATTGACTACTCCATTCTCATCCAGTTATTTGGAACAGAACAACCTTAAATCACATCAATCTTATTAATGTAGGAGGATGTCAAATGCAATTGCAGAAAACATTTCTGAAGGACAACATTGCTGGTTGTCAGAGGCCTGATTCTCATTCAAACTAGCCACCCTTTATGTTATCTTGGCAGTAGAGGACTTAATGTGAGTGTGAATCAGACCATCATTCAAGACAAAACCAGAATGTCCACTTGAGTCTATGATGGTGAGCAACACGGCACACTCTCCCTTTAGATTGTTTTGGACTATCAAAGCTAAATTTTTAATTTCCCAAGTTACAGGCTCTTCTCTGTAATTACAAGGTAAATGTGGGGCAACTACAATTTCTAAAGATAATGGTGTAGTTGTTGGTGTAAAACTCTAGATTAATTTTTCAATAAAATTGTACCACACCTATATGAGATTAAATTAGATCAACATTGCTCTAAATGTCTTCAGAAAGTCACAAGAAATAGAAAAGATCCCTGAGAACAGCCGGTTCACCAGCTAACAAAAGGGCTAACAAAGGACTTTCTTCCTCTTTATGCTGCCAAATAATAAGTTATCACCAAATGAACAATAACAGAAAGCATAAGTTTTTAAGTTCAAAGAATCAGAATATGTTTAATTATGTTCTCTAGATAAATGTGTTTTATTTACTTTCAAATGGAGCTGAAAAATTAAGCTACTTGTCAAAGACAGCAGTATCTTAAAATTTTCTTACCTGTGCAATTAGCCAATCCACCAGTTTACTTGCAGGGATTACTGATTTGTAGGTCTTTAGGTGGTAGTCACGGTCTCTAATTAAGAAAAAGAATTCAGGGAAAATCAGGATAAAAAGGTAAACATTTCTTTTATGCTTTAAACCTGCATATAATTATTGTGACCTACTATTACAAAGTTGAGGGAAGAAGAATTATAGATGGAAAAAAACTCTTACACTCCCAGACACAAACAAATAAGAGAAAGAATAGGAAGAATAGGAAGCAGATATCCTTTTTCTCTAAAAGAAAGGACTAGTTTTTAAACTTCTCTATCAACTTGAATTAGGAGGATATTTCAGATCAATACAGAGCAGTGTTATTTCAAATTTCTCTAGATGTTGTTTCAAGTCATCTTCAGAGAGTTCATATTCCTGCCAGAGGCAACCAGGACATTCTTTTCACAGATGTACTGAGCTGCTGTTTGAACTTGGGTTAGAATATTGCCACCAATGATCCTGTTGAAAATCACATTCTTCTGGCTGGAATTCATCTCATAGTTTCCATCCTAAATCCATCTTAGTCCAGTTTAAATTTATTGGCTGAGTGCCAGCCCCACCTATAAGCTTAAATAGTTCTTCTCTAGTGTTTACCCATCAATGTATTCATAGACAGTGACCCTACATATTCCCTCTGTGCCCCCTTTTTCTTAGGCTCACTGCATTAAGCAGGTTTTAGCCTACTCTGTCAAGAGAGGTTTTCCTGATTCTCCGTACCTGTTCAGATTTTACTTCCGTTAGCAAAATATCACAGCGTAGCCAGACACAAATAGAGTACACAGTGTTCTTTTATGGCATTAGATAATTTCAGCCATTGTAAATAAAAAAAAATGTTGTATTTAGGTCTTGTAACACAAGTTGCACCATCTCACACACAGCCCTTGTAGAGGGCAGCACTGTTCCTGAAATAAGGAAAAGAAATCCTATTGTAACTTGCTGCATTTAGCAGTTTTCTTCCATTCCTCTTCTAAAGAATTTTGATAAAAATATAAGAGGACTATGTGGCTCTGGACATTGGTCTCTAACACCTTTCATCTCCAAGTCACTGGATTTAATCCAGCTCATGAGAGAATGAAAAGCTCTTTCCATTTTAAGGCTGTTTACTAGCCCGTGTGAAATAAGTTTGGTGGTCTTGATCCAGTTCCTAGTTCCACATCACAAAAGCCATTACCACAATTAATTTGCATTAATTGGCTCCCTCTTGTTGAGAGTCTCAGTAGAGAGGCCAAATGCTGAATGGCTATGAAGAATTAATTCCTCTCTCATCCTTAGAGGTGGTCCTTCTATTTCAAGCTTGAGGTCCACTGGCATGACTGTGGAAGGAAACTTTCACAGCCACTGTGACTGTTTTACAGTCCGGATGTATCTATAAGGCAGCTCAAGAGAAGACTTTATTCTTCAGTTCTGTCAAATCAATCTCTTTCATTAGCACCACACCATTTGATATTTCCTTTTTTCTAAAAATCTAAAAATCAAACCACCATCTAAAATTAATCCCACTCATGTTTTCCTTTTACTAATCATCTACAGATACAAATATGTTGTGAGTGGCTTTTGTAAATAAATGCAGCAGAAATGCCTGTGTGTTTGCAGAATGCAGGGTGTGAGAAATTAGAAAGGGAAGCAGGACTTTCAGAATTTGGGGGGGCGGGGGCGGAACGGGGACGGACAGGGATGGGGACGGGACACGAAACCCAAAACATGACAGCATTTCCAGAAATATGTGTCCTTGGAACATATAAAAGCTTTACTCAGAGTGCTTACAAATATTTTTCAACTTGTCTTCCAGTAATGTGCTAAACCTAGCACAAAACTGTGGGAGTTTTCTGGGCAGTTTTTCCTCTCACACTCTTATCTTATGAAAATGTGCTTTTGAAATGTCAGAACAATAAAGCAAAGCATTAAAATATTGAGTACAAATGAGTAGGGGTTTCCAGATCGTGAGAAGCAACTCCCAACATTTTAATACAGATGCTGACACAGAGCTAGAGTTTTGAATAAGCTGGCATCCAGATCTTGGTCCAAGGCCCACTCTTTCACTGCTTGTAGTTAAATGCTTGTCAGGATGAATATTTCAACATTAGTTCACTGACTTTTCCCCCCATTTCAATCTAGCCTGAACAAAAGTAGGGCATGAATCATAGAATGTTACCCAGAACCATGAGCTGCAGGTAAATAGTACAGATATTATTACAGATATATCAAATACAGATATGGGAACCATTGAAATTTTGGCAGAACCTTGCTGCCTCACAGAAACTAGAGGAAAATCTTGTTCTTCACAGGGCCTAGCCCATCTACACACTCAAGTATTGTCCATCCCATGTGTAAGTGGGAGCCAGTTCTCCCACCCTCACAACTTCCCCAAACTAGATCAGAGACAGATTTAGAACCTTCTTTACATCTAAGATTTTTCAAAATGTTCTACTTTTTATATATCATCCCCCAAAGTAGCATGCTTTGTTTCCAGTGGGGTATATCATCTTGTCCTCGAAGTACATCAGTGTCAGAAATTACTTAAAGAAAATTATAAAGGCAAAGGCTACATGGGAACGCCCAAGTTTCCAGGGTAGACAACTAAGCAAAATTACGTTCCAAGGCTGTCAACAAAATAACTGAATTTTAAACTTTATGATTCCTCCAGATCCTCTTGGCACATGCACGTGCTACTCCAAGCAGTTTTGCCAATTTTCTAGAAGGAAGGTTGGCATCAGAAAAGTAGGCCTCATCAACCTTGCTAGCATGATTGCAAGGATCAGCAGTCTGGAGATGCCAGATAAAGCAGCAGTCCAAAGGCATAGTAGACAGTTATAGGCTTTGCACAACTAACTTGGCTAAAGGCTAGCTCCTTTAGGTTAACATTAGGCTTGTCAGAGGCAAAAAGACATGATAAGACATGAAAGGATGACGGCCCAGGAGATTCAGTTTTCTAACAAAGAGATAAAAGGAAGAGTGAATAGGAAAAATAATGGCAGGAAGAAGAGCCTGAACATACTGAGAATGTTAAGTCTATTCAGAAGGATCCTAAAACTTCTGAGACTCAGCTGTTTTTCACTGGACATACACAGTTCAGATTCACACTGAAACAGATTAATCCTGATATTAGAGGATACTCCAGCTGGGATTCTATTACAAAAATAGCACATTGATAAACCACCACAGGACAGGCCTACAGTAGTTATTTTGTTCTTGTTGATTTCCTAAAGCATAAGACTACATCCCTTTCAGTTTGTGGGTACCCTGAGGTCAGTGAAATTTTTTCAGCTTCACTTGCCATTAATCCTACTCTGCATGTGAATCACCATCCTAAGGGGTAAAATTTCTATGTGCAAATACACACACACATATACATAACCATTTTGCCTACCAAGGGCTGCATCGTGTTTTCCTGCTGTCTCCATATCCTCTAGGCTAATTGAAATCTGTACTATTGTGGAATGGCTATTCTGGGGAAAAATCAGAGACCTAATTAGGCAAATTTATGACTGATGAATTGTAACTATCTTTGCTGCTCCTTTTAGCATAACAATGGCATCTCTCAGTGAAACATCTGTTGTACAACTCAGGGACAAGAGGTTAGTTTTGTTGAATCTGGGACTCCAGCCATGCCCACAGAGGTTTTTTTCTTCCTCATCAGGTTTTTGTATGTAAAAAAAGATGTTCTCCCAAGTGACAAAGCCTAATTTTCAATCATAAACTCCTAAAAGAACACCTACACGGCTCAGGGTGCTTTTCGTTATAGGCCAGAAATGTTCATCTGATGTCACAGTAAGGCAACAACATCTGAAAATCATCTCCTGGGATCTGGGAAGAGTTAACTAGCGCTTGCAGATTATCTCAGTTCCTTAGTATTTCTTTACACAGAGCTAAATTCTGAAGATTCCCCCCAAAATTTTCAGGGGTTTTTCAAATGACAGCTTCAGGTTTTATTCCACTTCAGATTGGTTTTGTTTGTTTAGGGCGCTTTGAATGAAAGAATCCTAGCATCACATTGGAATCTGTTTACATCACTTTAGCATCTGTTTACATTTTCTATAATCCAAATAATACAGCAGCTACAACCACACTGCACAATCTGCTCTGAATCAGTAGTCACTTATTAATCACACCCACTTTAACTCACAGAAAATGCTAGAGAAAACAAATAAACTTGTGTCATGCTAACAGCTCTCATGAACTGACAGAGGAAGCAAATGTCAAGACGACTATAACACTAGCCTTTCACTCCCCCAGAACCCAGTTCCAACATCCTCCAGCAGAAGTACAAATACAGGTCTAAACTGTGGAGATAGAAGGGTAGTAAAAGAGCCAAGAAAATGCAGAAAATTACTGCTTATAATAAGAAAGAAGAAAGATCTCAATAGCAACATGTCATCCTTTTAACAAAGCCAGATAATATATACAAGCTGATCATGAAGGTGAACTTACTTTACCACTGGAGTATATAGGCAGTGTAGTCGGCAGTACAGCCTCACACCCTGAAGAAGGAAAGATGCACAGTATTATCAGTTTTTTCCTTTTCAAAGAAACACTGACTAGCTAAGGCTAGCAAAACCTGGACACTGATGGCTCTACTCAGCTGGAATTATCTATTGATTAACTGTTTTTCAAAACAGTTCCCTTATCATCTCTGTCAAACATTCTTCTCTCCCTGCCTCCAGAAGCAAAAAAAAAAATCTGTTCTTTTATCTCTAATCACCTCCATTCCAACATTTTCTCCATTAATCCTTCCTCACAATTAACCCATGAACTGACGTCCAGAAGAAGAAATCCAATTTATTAAAAAGTATATGGGCAGATATGGGATCAACAGAAGTCATTTGACATACAATTATGAGGAACAGCAGTTTAAATATTGATCTCTTCTATCTCTCTGAACCATAATGCCCAGATTTTCAGTACATGTGCTGTATTATGGCCTACAGTTTTCTTTTAAGACCTTTTGTTACTATATTAGGATTGTAATCAGCAGTCTTCAGTGCAGTCACAACTGTATTTTTATTTATTGCTAAGCTCTGCTTCCTCTCCTTAGAGCAAATGACTCCTGTAGCATGAGGATGGATAGCTTAATACAACTAAGATAAACAACATTAGGGATCTCCTATACAACAGGTCAACAACATTCAGAGGTAGAGCAAACTCTTTTGATGGTTCTTACGCAAATCACAAGGTTCCAACTAAGAATGATAATACAAACCTTGGACATGATGTCTTCCAATTCACTTCTTGGCTTGTATGTTCCATCATCATAGCGAAATCTGTACATCACCTGCTCATTCTTGAACTGGTGCTTATCTGAAACTAAAACATCAGTATGATAATTAAAACTAGTCTTTTCTCCCCTGCCATGTTCTTCATAGGCCAGTTGGTACATCTGCACCTAAGGATTTGCTGGTACCTATCACTTTCTGAACTGAAAAAGGACTCAGCTCTTCAAATTTCCCCTTATTGTGTACGTATATGCATATGTGCACTTCTGAATAGCTCCGCCAACAAAAGCAGTTTTCTAAAATACTGCAGCTCGAATAAAATTGAAATTTCTTCCTTTTACATCAGATTCAATTTATGTAAGGCTTTGAAAACAGTCCTAGTGAAGGTAATTGGGACTGTCTGACTTTTTTCAATGTCTTGAACAAAGTGCCTGCAAGCTCCCACAGCAGTTACCACAGCACTAAAGTAATTTTTGCAGTTGCCTGAAGTTCTACAACTCCAAAAGCAGAAAGCATATTGGTGGGAGGAACTACAGCTGTTAGAGGTATTCTACCATGGTTCTTGTATTTACTCGTGAGTTCCTTCTAAAAATTAAATAGTATTTTTCAGAGACTGCTTTTTCACCCAGAATAGCCATTCCACAGCAGTGGAGTTAAAATCTTACTGGGTAATGCAATATACTGATAGGCTTTAAAGAAATGGACACAAAAGATGTTTCAGTGTGATAAGGAACCATTTCAAAAGCAGCACTGGCCAAAATCAGAAAAGAGTCAAAAACCATACCCAGTTTCAAACAGACTTAAGTAATAAGTAATAAAGTATCTTCCAGATTTTACAATATGTAGTATAGAAATGCCATTGTTCACATCTTAATGGAGATCAGTTACAACTATTGAGAGAAGGAGGAAAAAATCCAGAGAAGAGCAACCAAAGCAGACAACAGATAAGGTGGGGTAGCTTAGTCACTGTAATCTTTCCTGCCTTTGCCAATGTAACAAAACCACAGCCAGATCTTTGTGCCAGAGCACCCTTTTATATTTTGGATGCAGTATTTCACACTGTAGGCATAGCATTTGATGAACTGAGAGAAAATACAGATTTACACTATTTAAGATGCATCTTAGGCTGGGTTTGATTAACTTGAGAAAACTGATTGCACTGGATGACTAAAGACAATAAAACTGGGTTAGGCAGACTCAGAAGTACCAGGACTCAGTTTGAGATTTAGTCTGCCCCTTGCAGAGTGGGCAGGATAATTGTTTAGAAGGCAAAGAACAGGAATTCTTAAAACCTTCCCACATTACAGACATCCTTCTCTATGAATATTTAATTAAGATTCCTGGTTTTCGTGATATTTTTCCTTAATTTCATAGGATAAAAGAGAATTTGCAGGATCTGGTATATATCCATTTGTATACAGTGGAATCTCTAAGCTGTGTAAGCTACTGACTTCTTTGAGTGTCTTCATGCTCTGGATTTCATATTTCTAAATCCAATTGAGAATCGAGTCTGTGGAAAGCATCTTTTCTGTCTGGCACAAAGCAGATCAGGTTCTGATCACTTCTGCTCTCTGTGACAGGTAGCAGAACTTCCACATCAGCAGTCCCAGATAAAATAGCCAGAATTAAAGGAGATACAGAGGAAATAGAGTGATAAAACACACAGAGCTCAGCATTTAGCAATCTTCTATGGTCCTGCTTCTCAGGCAGGCTGAGAGATCAGCAGTTTTCACCTCACAGTAATGTTATGCCAAGTGAAAACAAAAGATAAAAGATATTGCCTAATGTAGAATAGGGGTAAGGGCTTCATTATGGTGCTTAAGTTTTAAGTTCTTGCTACATTAGGAGGCACACAATGGGATACTTTCACATCTAATGATTTATCAAATTCTCAAGGGATATTCCCTTAAGTAAATGCAGAGTTGCGAATACCTTCGAATGTCTAACAATAACTGCCATTGGAGACACTAATATCAGGAACTCTAACTAAAGGTAACATTAAAACCAACCAGATGCATCCTAATCAGGGCATTTGAATAAAAGGAGCAGTAGATATAACAGCACATCTTTCTTTGAGCTGTAAATTTGTGTTTAGAGTAAAAGTACACTGCTGAAAGTGTTGAAGTATGAAGTTATGGCAAGGTAAACAGTCATCATGAAATAACAAGTCTCAGGAGAGGTTTTTGCACCAACAGTGCAAGTGTACACATTCGGAACATAGGCAAGGAAGGGTGTAAGCACAAAAGAGCGTTCTTCATCCACAGGGGGATCCCTACACATAGAAGCCAGAGCGTCAGTTATCCAAAGCCACAGTTAGGCCCAAGTAGTCAAAAGCATTCAGTGCTTTTGAGCTTATGCTCAAAGCCCTTCAAAGTCTGAATGTGCCTGAAAGTATGTCTTGGTACCTAGGGGTGGAAGTGTATGTGCATGAAAGATTATGGTACTGCTCATATTAAATTCCTCTATGTGTTAATTAAAAGGAGATAACAGACATCATTTCTTAACAGTGTTATTGTCACCTGAAAGACAAGTTTGTGGAGCTGAGTTACCAAGAGATTAAAGCAAGACTAGCCTAATTAAATGGCTCCACTATTTAGATTGGTTTCCAAGAGACTGTATGGAAATTTAGACCACTGGTGACTTAAGACCTATATACCTTATTCCTTTGATGTGCATTTTGCAGCTAAACTCACCTCAAAGTTGAAATTGGGGCATTTGCTGTTTAAGTAGAATAGGACTGTGTTGCTCTGTCTGCATAATGTAATATGAAAATAATAGGAAACAGCAGAACAAATCTGGATTTAAAGGATGTAATCTGGAGCAAGACCTTATTTTAGCAGAAATGCAGACAGCACAGACAATTTTCAAACAAGCATCTTGTGCTACTTTAGTCATGCAGCACGTTGGTATGCACTGTCCTACGCTTCTAAAATATCCCTCCTCACAACACTTCAAGGTCATCTGCTGGGTGTGATGAAGAAATATGTTGCATCACTATTTTAAAGAGAGACATTCTTGCCAAATGACCTGGAAACAACAAATCTGACCACAAAACCTCCATCATCTCTTTTCTTTATGACAAGCAGACTCATTAGAAAGAATGACGCATCGTCTGAAGCTCCTCACTCTGTTCATACCTGTGCCCCATACTAAAAAAGCACTGCTTGACAATCCTCTGTATTGCTGATGTCTCATAAGGAAAGCTATATTTATTGATCACTACAGGTTTTTAAACACACAAAGTATATACACCTGATATAGTCTGCAACAAACATGTTGCAGAGGAATCACACAACTGCAGGCATAAACACTTTCAGGATACTCAACAAGTCCTGTTTTCATGACATAAATTTGTCACTCATTAATCCCAAAAGTCATCAAATCCACAAAATGTTTAATGGGAATGGTACAGGAAAGTATTTGAACATCACGTGAACAGCTGCAGCCAGTTTTCCACCCTTACTTCCAGGGCATTACTGAAATCTGACCTCTCTTTATGGCATGGAGCACTCACCATGATGAATGATTCCATTTTCCAGTAGTGCCTGTCCCAGGTTGACCCCTTCCTCTGGTTTGCTTATCTCTCCAATCTCTGTGAGCCATGATACAAACTCACTGCAAAGGGAAGCAGAACGGAAACAGTTAGCTTTTTTGCTCTGAATATAAGCAGACACATGCCTCTGCAAGTCATCAGACAACCACAGGAGACCCTCTCCTTGAAGCAAGCGTGAAAACTGTGGCTTGATTTCCTACATTTCTGGAGGAAGTGCTCTGCAGAAGATCCAGATCTCCCATTCGTCACTTTTCGCACCATTCCCCTTAGCTCATCATAATCAGCACGCACACAAAAGGAAAGACCACCTGGCTGGATCTATAAAGATGCTGCAAATCCGTATTTTATTGAGCAATCCAGACATCCAAGGGGGAAAAGGAAAGCAAGATGAACTGATGAGCTTAAAACCAACAAGTTGGACAGTAGAGAAAGCAGCTACTTCTATCCAAGCTATCCCTCCAAGCAGTGTTTGTAGTCTGACTTAGTTACATATGCTCACCTTTCTTCACTGGGTCTGATTTCTGGCCTGCCCTCCCCAGTGGTGTAATTGCGTTGGCTTTAATGGAATCACAGTAGGACTTAGGACAGAAGATTCAACCTACTGAGTTCAAGCACAGAGCAGTAAGAGAGCACAAGTCTCACTAACAGGTTAATTTAAGGTCATTTACTGGAGCTGGTGCCTGGCAGATACATAAATGACGCTTCTAATTTATGCACAATAGGTGCTAAGTCTGCCTGCTCATGCAGCACGAAACAAAACCTCTCTCTGGTGAGGGGCAGAGCTGCACATATGGGCAGAATAAAAGCCAAAAATGGATAGATACGTAGGATGTTACTCAATTAGAAACGGTAAGTACAGAAAAATCAACATTGCAAGCCTGATGAATACAGCACTGCCAAAGCCCTAGGGGGGCTCAGTTGTTTGCCAGGTTAATTAGCGATTACACTAGGAATGTGTTAAATTCATAGAGAACAAAAGGAATATATGAACGTAGAGTCACATACAGGAAATCTGAGTTCAATAAACCACTTGGGTGCTTGCCAATGTGCAGAGCGTTGCTGCTTATCAAAACCAGTATCCATGCCTCCAATTGTGGGCTCTAAATGAAGTATTTTTAGTCTCTTCACAGTTATCAGAGCTTACTCATCTAATCTGTAGGTAGTATTTGCATTTTGCCTTTAGAATAACAACAACTTCAACACTGAAAACTTCGGTTTGCTGAGGGGCTACTCTGTAACTGTCACAGTGTAGAAAAAGCAGCAGAATCTATTCAACTATGCCAGGGGAATCCCATGGAAACCAGCAGAGTTTTGTAAAACTCCTAAAGCCAGAGTACTGTAGGGATGAGTCAGACTATCTTCTAAGGAAAGCTCATTTTCAATTTCCCAGTGATTCTGAACTATTTCTACACGTACTGAAAAGCTGAAACAGAACATAAACTGCAGAGGAAGGAGAAGTAAGAACGATCCTCCACACCCATTCCTGAGAACACAAGACCCACACTCTGTGGGGTGCCCCCTCACAGACACGCTGCCCAATGACTGTAATCATGTTGAGTACCCAGCGTAGATGCCCAGTTGCTATACATTTTTCTGTCAAGTGCAATGGGTCTATGGCAGTTTACAGCACTTAAACAGTGGCTCAAAACTGAAGCAGAACACTGCTACCCTGTTAGCTTTCCTGCTCCTTTTATTTGGAACTGTGTCCCTGGAGTTTGTTTGGATTCTAAATGTAAGGTAGTCTTAAAGTTTGAAATTGAGAGCTGAAAAAGTAACCAAACACTACTCTCACAGCCTTGAAGCTTCAGAACTATGGGATGGTTTTCTTCAGAGCTACTTTAAGACTTCTGTGGCATTTGATGTATAAGCAAAATCAGTAATCATTTGTCCTGAAGGCTTTACAAGCACTGAAAAGTGCGTGATCCAGAAATATTCCAAGAGGTTTTTTAGGCACATGCTGGACTGTTGCAAAAAACCAATCAACTCAAAAAGTGGATCGCAAAGCCTGATTTGTTTCCTCCTCCTGTCCTAAACAGTTCTCCAGTATAACTGAGAGTATCCTCAGTTCCAGTGCTGCAATGCTCAGTTCTCATCTGGCATGCAAATCAGGACACCATCTCCCAACTACACCTCTGAAATTAAGGGACTTAGAACAGCTGGCTTTCTACTCAAGAAATACACAGGAAAATCCAACCCATCCAGGTTTGTGCAATCTAGAATCATAGGATCATAGAATCTTAAAGGTTGGAAAAGACCTCTAAGATCGTCAAGTCCAACCGTCAAATCTGATCAGATATGTTTGGAATCTCCTGAGGTTAACAGATCCTCTCTATTACAAGCTCAAGTTTGCAATCAGTTTAGTGCAGCGCTGAAAAGAAGCATGGCAAGCATATCACTTACATGTATTGGCACCAACACACATCTTTCCCATTGTATCACTATTCATGTGCCTAAATGCCAGTACACCTGAGGAGTGGTTAGGAAAATGGATTTGCACTCAAGCAAGTCAATTGCTGAAGTTAAGTTCAATAAACAGTCTTATAAATAAATGCATGTGATATTTCTGAAGATATTAGGATTAGTTCATGCTTTTTTTCTGCAACTACATTTTATCTCTTGAATTATTAGATACTATCTGATATCCAAAGGCCAAAAGCAAAATTATTTTTTATGGCCTTAGTGTTACTCTCAGCTGCATGTAGCAGAAAACCACTAAGTACCTCTCAGCATAGTCATTAGTGACTCCCTTAGGCAAGAATATCTGAAAAAATGAACAGGTCACAGCCAATATGCATTGTTCAGGAGAAGCCCCATGAATGATACGAAAAATCTGTGAGTCATGACTGGATTGTACTGATTGAGTTACACTCAACTGAGTTGCCCAGGATGGTACCAATAAGTGACTGTTGAAATGATACCAGCAGAGTTATTTTCTATAAGGAAGGCTAGAACATCAGCAGAAATAATGCTTTTGTCTGAGATCAGGATACCTGTACGTATCTCAGTTACCCATTGGCAAAGCTAGGTCAGGTCCTCACTACTGGAGTGTCAGGTGTCCGGCAAGCAAACTGAGGGCAATGAGCAGGACAAATTGTGAGGCATGTGAGAAAACAGCCATTTTAAAAGAAAAAGGAGTGGCAGGAAATCCCAGGTAAGACTTGAGACTAAGCAAAACATCAGGGAATCCACAACAGACTCATATATATCAGCACTGGAAGAACATAAGTTTCTGATCTGGTACTTCTTGTTGCATGGAAAATAGGAAACGCTCTATCATGCCTCCAAAATCAGAGCTTCAAGGTTCAATCTGAATTCAGCTGATTCAACTGGGAGGGGTGGGGGGAGAAATAAAAAGCAACCAAATCTCAAAAAAATCAAGATTTTTTTATAGCTGAAATATTGCCAGCCTATGCTACCAGATTGCCTTCTGTCAGGCAGAAAGACAATGCATCATTTCCACACCCTGTACACAAGGAATTCTGCCTGCAAACTGCCACTACAGAGACTGGGGGAGGGAAGGGAAGTGAATGGATAATCTGCCTCTCAGAACTCTATTTCCTCCCACAGCTGATCATTTCAACAATAAACAGCTGAGGTGGAAAAGTCTTCTCAGGTCAGCTAATGTGTCTCCCTGTGTGCCATGCAAGACATTTCCCTACTGCTACCATATCTAATCTCTGATCTGATTCATCCACAGGGTGTCCCTTCTACTGTCTCATACACATCACTCTTAAGAATTATTTTGTAATATCTCGCCTGAGTGAATGAGGTGTTTTCCAGCCAATAAAGCTCTATACTTCAAACAAACGCCAGGTCTCTTGATGCACAAAATTTCATTTGTGTCTGTTACATTGACAAACAAGAAACTTCTAAATTCAGTCCTGAGAGCTGGACAGTTCTGCTGGATTTAAACATCACCTGGTAAGCATTTGCTTGTATACAACAGAGGATATAGGTTAGGCCACCAACAGCCCTGAGCTTGGGGGAGTCAAGGTATTTTTTCCTAATCCTTTCGCCGATTTGAAACAGCTGTTGTGAGTTACTGTACAATAGAATGAGCTGTCACTATACAGCCTGTGTATAGCGTGAAATAGAAATCAATGATTAATTTTAATAAATCACTACTGTAATGGGGGTTATGGCCTTTTCAATTAAGCTGCATCAAAGCACATCTGATCTGACCTCACAATGCCATATGCAGAAAACTCAGAGTCTGTTCTTTTAATTAGTATGAAAGGGCCTTTTCAATTCAAATGCTACTTACTTGCCAAGAAAGCACTTGGGAACAGTACTTAATTTTCTCCTCCTGTCTTTGATAAGGTTCACTTTCTTGCTCATCATCATTTGGTACAGCTTCTCTCCTTTCTCTGCAATCATGACGTATGCATCCCTCTCCATTCCCAGTTTCAAACCTGGAATACAAAGCAGAAATTCCTTCAGATCCTTAATATCAGATAAAGTGTTTGCTCAAAGTCAAAAGCTGAGGCCAAGTAGACAAAGCAGTAGAAAGACAAAAATTAACTGACTTGTTTTCCAAGTAAGGGAGAAATTGGCTTATTTATTTATCTGAGTACAAAACTGTCATTGGTGAGTTTAGCACCAAAGAGATGCTTGCAGCTTTTCTTCTCCATTTAAAAAAGTAGCTTTAAACTTACGGTTACATCACATCACACAAAGTAGAATGGTTTACAGAACATGGAGAAGTTCCAAACAAAGGAAGATAAAACATATACCTTCTGAAACTGATTTCCTGTTGCAATTTCACTTTTGACCCTGAAATAACTGCCAGTGTAAGACTTGTTCAAGGCAGCTAAACGCTTGACAGAGCAGATGACTTTTTGAGTGTTCTCTTACTTGTAGCCAAAAATACAAAACTGCTGAAATCAAATTCACATCCTTAAATAAATCGGAACTGGCCAGGAATATTATTTTGTCATCCTTTCTTAATTAGCCTATTTACTAATACTCCTAGGCTAGAAATAGAGTTTGACAATCATATTATCCAGTCAACGAAAGAAATACTGAATGATTTAAGGAATGACAGATAATTGGATACAGAGAAAATTTCAGGTTCACTTTGCATGAGTTTCTACTCATTTTCATGTTAACTTGAAAATTGCTACAGTCAGGAGGATGATCTCTGAAAACAATAGGTGTCTGTGTTACAACTATCGTCATAACTGGCATTTTCTGGCACTCTTCCCTTTAGATTTGCAAATTGCTTTTGGAGGACAGCACATGAGAAAAGCTGTTTTGCTGCTGTAGATGTTTTGTCTCTTCTAGCCTGAACAAATTTTTTTTGTTTTTGGCTACGTTATTCTAGAACTTGCAAATCTAGACAACTCTGGAGTCCCAGAGGCACAGATTTTAGACATCTCTAAGACTAGCTTGAAGACAGGCAGCTTGAATTGGTCCTGTACTTATGTGCCTAATTTTTACAGAGATTGACCTTAGGCAGAATTTAAGTGATCAGTGTAAGGCTAGAAAATGAAAACTGTACATTCTTTGGGAAAAGCAGCTCACACTAACCGGACATAAATCTGTTGCTTTATGTTAAGACACTTAAATGAATTAATAGTTTTCTGTGTCATCTGAGCTGTTTTACAGCTTTTTGAAAACACTTAATGAATTTTTTTAGAGGCTTGAAAAGCACGTTCCAGAAATTAGACTTGCACAACATTTTCTCTTTCAAATATGGTATGTCTTTCACGTGTCCAATATCTGGCTAAAGGTTCTGGCTCCGCAAATCCCCTGGCTTATTGCCATTATTCTTCCATCCTCTTCTTCCCCCAATACTGTGATCCAATTCAACCAGTCAGAATGCTGACACATGTAGCCGAGGCTAATTTGCAACGTGAACTTGTGATAGAAAACAGCCTGTGTAATAGTATACATGTTTCCTGCTGGTCTTACATCACTAAATTCCCCAGGCTGTGATGTAAATGGCAGACTGGAATGTACATTCTACCCAACTCACCCTACAGAATTGGGAATCTCACCAAGCTTTCTAATCCAAACACTGATATATCTCTGACTTTGCAAGTGCTCTGATCCAAAAGAGATTTTCCAATAAGGTCTGGAATGTCTGCGAGAATAGCTATGCTTATCCTGAATGCCTGTCATCAGCTGCCACATCATAAAAGTATATGACAAAAAGCATCGGAAAAGAACCCCGCTCTTACTAGCCAACGCTGCATGGAAAACTTCGAGAAACTTTATATTAAGGACTAGTTCTTTTCTCTTCCTAGTGTTTACTTCAGTCACCTCCCCATATTCTCAAGCTCCCTGTTTGTATATAGTCTGTTTTTCTAGTCCTGCCTTTTTACTTCATACTGAACCTTCTCTCTCCTCACACATTTTACCTGATGCAGAGGAAATTCTGCAGAGCACTAGTGACCTCACAAAGTGAAAACTCATTGCAGAATGGAGACTCACTGGATCTTTTAGAGATATGATTTAGCATTCTGAGGGTAAAAGTAAGAGCCAAGAAACGTATTTTATTAAAAAAAATATTATCATGTGGAAGATCAGGATCCTTACAGGAGAGTGGGATGCAGAACTGACCAATGAGCACAGACCACCAGCTCAGAATTAAACACTTCTTTTTAATAAATAAAACCAAGGAAACAAACAGATTCTCTCTGTTGCCTTCAGGTAGTTCTTCTGAATTTACACCATGCCCGATCTACATTTTGAAGGTAGCATCCTTGCTATTATCAAAAGGTGTATTGGGCTTCATAAATGATAAAATATGTTAAAAATGTTTTATATTCTATGGTAATAAATAACACTGCAATGTGCATTGTGTCTAGCAGATTAGATGCAAAGCATTGTAACATAAAAATAAAGGTTTGGATTTCAAAGGACATTAAAGGATTTAGATTCTCTGCTTTCACCAAACTTCAGTGACAGATCTGTAACTTTCTTAAAAAACTTTAAAAATCTATAGCATTATTGCTTAGCAAGTACAAGTTCTGAAAACACACTCCTAAAAAAGGGTTTCAGACTGACCTCTTTCAATATTAGCATAGATGAGCAATTACATCTTTACTGGAGCTGTGTGTGCAAAGAGGGGAACCACTTCTAAAAGTCAGGCACAGAAGGTTTTTAAAAGTGTCATTTCCTCTGGCAATGAGCTATTATTATTCTGATTGAGCAAACAGGGAAGCAGGTTCACTTGTGAAAGATAGTTCTGACTTTTAAAGGAACTCAGAACTTTTATCATCCACCCGATTCCTGGCTTTGGGAGCTTGCTTCTGTTGTACAACACTGTTTCAAGATAAGTTCAGTTTTTGTTTCATTCCACAGGAAAAGATAAAAGTGACAAGCATCTGCATACACTTGTCACTGTTCTTGGTCTAAGTGTAATATTTCTAGAGTTTTTCCTCCATGAACTGTTCTGTTTATTTCAAGATCATGAAGCCCAAGTTTGTGAGAACGAGTTTGTGCCATTGCCTGGCACAAAAAGGCTGCATGCTGGATTTTCTTCTTTCCTTTTATTGATAATACAAATACAATTTTGTCTTATTCACAAATAAAAGACAAAAAATGAAATTGATTAAATGTATTTTTTTCATAGCTATTCAATGCATCAAAGAAACTGACTCTGGCAAAGAAAAATGTTTGATAAATATACTGTCACAAGTCCATAAATATCCCAAGGTACACATTCAGAAATATTTGTTTTCAATCACTTGATTTTCTTTGTCGGATAAAGGATAGAAAAACGGCAACCTTTTCTTTTTATCTCAGATACTTATACATGCATATACATTCCTCCTTTGTACGCAAGTTCATTCGGTGCATTAGAAAATACATTATCCACTTACTCTCCCTCTGCTCCCTTTCCTTGATTATAGCATCCAGCCACTTCTGTTTGTCCTCTGCAGTCTTGGCCATACAGACAAACCATTTGTTTTTGGCTGTGTTGTGTATCTTCCAGCCATTTGTCACAGTGTAGCCATTGCTGTGGTAATCTGCTGTAAAAACCCAAAGCACAATGCACACAGTGAATAGAAGGCCTGCTACTTGAATCAAATCAGAGTGGGACACCTTAATTAAACTTTTGTTCTTTGAAGAGCTTGATTTCTGGAGGTGTTCCTCATGCATCAGTCGTACTGACTGTCCACGTGACTAGTTGTTACTTACCGGTCTGGAAGTACAAGTATTAATAGAAGTAGCCACAGCTAGGCTGTTCAACTGACTGAATGTTTCAGTCCTAAGAGCAACACTTTATAATTTCACCTCAGAAGAACAACTACAATATTTTAAATACAATGACATCAGTGAAAAAGACTGATGTTTGTTCAGGTTATTTGTTCTGAACTTTCTGGGGACATGCTAACTTCTGGCACTGCAGGGATTTTTGTCCACAGGACATGGGAACTCTTTAAATGTCAACTGTTTAAAGGACATAATATTAATTCCTGAATGATTACAATAGGAGCAGGGGCTGGCGTAGCCTTTGTGGATGAAATCAGAAACCCATCCAGTCTTCCTGCCTGTGTCAGAACACAAGAATCGTAACACAATTGCCTTCCCATATTTTGTTCATGGCCACATTCCATGCTACTGATTTGATGCTAAGACTATTTGGTAGTAGTCTAAATGAGAAGAAGATCCAGAAGTTCTGTTATTATAGCTGTAATGGCTTAAGATGTAAGAAAAGAAAGGATGGAAAGAAGATAAAGTATCATTTACTAAATTAACTTGGATCAGGAGAAAAAATAGACAAGCTTCGGGGTACACGAACTCTTCATAAGGTCATTTCAGAATGAAGGACTGAAAGCATGTCCAGTCTTTCAGCTGTTGGTCTAATAATAAGAGCATGAGAAGTTACATAGCTTACTTAAGATTTCCAACACAAGATCTAGACTTGCTGTGCTGTTGAAAGACAGTATTTTGTCCCTTACCTGTTCCGTCTTCCACATTCTCCACCTCCATGACTTCTGTATTTATTCGGCCCCTGAAGATATACAGGGACCCGTTGATTGACTTTGTCCGTTTAGATGGTTTTTTCCCAGTAACTCTGCAATTAGGATTTAGACTGTTATATTCTAATTCTTATGCCTCAAATAGGTTTAAAACTATCCAACTGACACCTGCTGAGCTCTAATATCTAACAACAACCCTGCTATGTGAACCAAAACACAACTGGTCAAATGATCATCATTTAAGATGGCAGGTGTCCCAACTGTGCAGTGAAGGGATTGCTGTGGCAACTTGCCAGCAGCTCGTAAGATTCAAGGAATATTGCAATAAAAAACAGCTGGGGTGAAAATTTCTGTCAAAGTGAAGTATCTCTGATAAACTGAGGTGTGAGGAGAATCACCAAGTTTTTCTGAACAATTTTTCCTTTTACAACTAGCTTTAGTGACAAAAATACCTTTAGTGATGGCCATATATCTACATCCAATCAGACTGACATCTTGGAGTTATTAGATCATTTCCTAAAGACAACTGCTGGAGTCAAAAGAAAAGCTATCCTGGCAGCCTTAGTGAAACCCTTTAAATACTGAACCCATTTCCCCACATGAAACATATTGTTCCTGACATCAGGATTCAATTTAAACAGCAGTCTATGATCCTGCTAAAACACAAAACAATACTCAGCCCTGAAACTCTATGTCATCAGTTTGTCAGACTTCCCTAAGCTTCTTGAAAAGATGAGATTGCAGTCTTAGATCAAAAATCACAGATCAAATTCTGATTCTAAACACATCTTAAATTGGTCTCAACAACATTATTCCTAATTTCTGCTATTGTGAAAAGATATAATGCCCAAATTCAAGTGGCTGCATTGAAGACTGCTTATCAAAGATTGAGGCTTGAATTCTGATTGTACTTTTCAATCAAGAAAAACTCCAGTGATTTTTACAAGATAAGCATAGTACCAGTGAGATGAAAACCAAGTCATTCAATTTCAAATTAGGAACAGATGCAGACAGTCTGGGGGTTTGTTTGGGTTTTTTTTCCCCAAAAATCTGCATTCCACTAACATGCCAGTTGCTTGTCAAGCAGCTGGCCAAATGATCGCACCAGCACAACTGGATAGACAGTCATTTCCATCCTGGACTAATTATAAATAGCAGCTAGACAGGAGAAATATCCAAAATTAAAGTTGCTTAGCAATCCCTAAATATATCTTTTACATTAGGCAATTCCCAGCAGATTTAATAAAATATTCTACTTTTTAATGGAAATCAGATTTGGGACATGAGTTCCAGCTACATTATTAGACAAAGATAAACAATATCGATCCTTTGGGAAAATCAAAGTGTTACAGCAGCATCCTCTAAAATCAAGCCAAACTACAGAGTAGCTCAGTAATTTCTCCTGTACAAAAACAGAGAATCGCTTAAAAGGCAGTAAAACAGTTTGTTTTCTAAATATTAGTATTCTGGGAAAAACACCTGGACAGCGTGGAAGGGGCTAGGCTAACCTAAACTACAAATGGGACTAGAAAACCAGTTTCTAAGACCTCTGAAGAAGTAAAAGATTAGATACCAAATTTTTTTTTTTTTTTTTAAGGACTAGTTTTCTTTTAGAAGACACAATTCTGAACTGTGTTTCATATGGAAGTTTGGATTTTGACAGATCCGGTAAAGGGTCAAAATGAAATGTTTCATCTTTATTGCTTCATTTCAGCAGAGTCAGAATGCTTCAGTTAGATAAGATTACAAGTCATAAAAGACTGAATTCTGTAATTTTTTTCAAATTAATTTAAAAGTTTATATTACATTCTAAGAATTTCTAATGCAGATTTCACCTAATAATTTGTATTTATGTTGTATTATCCACACAAAAAGTCTCAACATTGCTGAAATTATTTTTTCCCATTAACATTTCCATTGAACAAAAAACTGGGAAATAAAAACAGATTTTGAGATATGGGAATTTTATTTGGAGAGACCACTCTGGTTTTTGAGAAGTTCTAATTGGGTTGGCTGTTTTACTTGACCATCACCAGTAAATAAGTATAACTGGAAGAAGAGGGAAGATATTATGGGAAAGGGAGTAGGAAGAGAACCTGGAGTGTAGAGAATGCATTGTAAATTCCAAAATGACCAAGACATGAGCATGAGACTGGAGCTGTGAAGGTGAAAAGCTTAAGAACTGAAATACAGTATAATTGCTGCAGAAGCAAATTGCCCTCCACGCTGCCAATGGTATTTTAATAATAAGCAGTAAGTATTAATAATGCTTCAGTTTTAAAAGGTGGAACAATGCAAAAATTGTTATTAGGATAAGAAAGGAAGACAATGCACAGAATGCATGGGCTGCAAATGCTGAAGAGCAACTTCCTAATCTTCATCTCTTCCTCACTCCTCTGTGCCCTTCATCTATTTAATGTTTTCTTAGTATTCCACTTTCCCTTTTCTTGCCTTTATGTCATTTTTTCATGTCACCTTCTTCTGCTTCGTATAACCTCACAATGAAAGTTGGCAAGGCCTCCTTCTTCACGTCACTCGTGGAGATCTGTCTGCTCTGGGAAGCTTTCCAGCTGTAAGAACTCACTCTGTGTTTTTTCTGCACTGTATCAACTTCTGTCTTTGGACTGCGTACTTCTCAGTGTGGGGACCCCATTAATCTCTGGCATATTTATCCTACTGTATAGCGACTTCATTCTCATATAGTCTAAGTAATAGCAATAGTCAAGAACAGAGGAAAGTCACACCTGTGACTCAGCTCTACAGAGCAACATGGAATACAGTGAGTGATCAGTAACTGATCATACTTTCTACTTACAAAACTTCGGAATGGTCCCATTATAAAACTGTAAAGACAGAGGCACTCACCTGGATTTCCTCTTGCAATAGACCAGTAGATTATCAAATAAAAAAAACATTCTCTCCTGGATATTTCCTGCTGAGATTTTTAACAAAGTCCCTTGGAGCAAGAGCTGTGTGCAGATATCTGTCAGATTTGACCCCTGAAACATAGAAAAGAGATACTCTTTAGTTTTAACTTTTTGTGTGCATGTGGGCAATGAAGTATTTTTACTAAAATGCTGCATGTCACTGAAACGTGAAATAACTGATGCACTCATAAGGAGGAAGTGCTCAATTTCTTAATGTGACTAAACATACCACATTTTCTCCAGATTACAAATTTTTTTTTTTGAGTCCTCATATACTGTAATAAATCTTCCCTATTAAAATCCAGGAGACTTTTTTCCTGAAGAAATCTTTCACTCTCAAACAGCTGTACTGTGAGTCTCTCGAGACCATTAGTCTTCCTTTCATACTCTCAGCTATCATTGCAAATATCATAAGTGACGGCTTTAGGAATGCTTTATAAAAGAATAATGGTATCTCCCTAACACTGTAGCTCCGATATTGACATATGACACTATTAACCATCTCTCTGCAAAATCATCTCAGTGGTGATATGTCTCTCCAACTCTTCTGTTGGAAGCATACACAGATGCTCTCGTCTCTGGAGTTCTAATAAACACATGTGAGTTAGAAACATAGCCACGAAAATCAGAGGATGGGTCCTGGACACTGTGCTAGCTGCTATGTGCAAGCCATTACATGCACTAGGCAGCCACAGAGATAACTTTAGGTACGTTAGCCCATGAGGATGCCCAGAAACTGAAAACCACAGTAGATCACTCTAAACTATTCACTGCCCAAACCGTTACTAAGATTATTCCTACAAAAAGTGATCATACAGTTCTTTAAATGGGGCCCTTTAGGACCAAAGCAGTCAGGCTCAAATGAAAAACAACTATAGGACCGTCCCAGGTTGCTCTCAGGACAGGCAAACTCCAAGTGTCCCCACATTCTGAACAGACACAGTTGGGAATCTGCTCCTCAACTGTTCCATTGACCAAACAAGATGCTTTGGTTAAATCTTGGGCATTAGCCTTAAATTCCTAGTATTACTTCGAAGGTACAAGAGCATCCTATCAATAATGGTCCCTTTTCAGAAAAACACTCTGAGGCCTTGCAAACATTTACCATCCAGTTTTGAATCACTTTTAGTTTTTGCATTTCTCTCAGCTGGAAGGAAGAACAATATAGGGTAACTTCCTTCCATGGTCAGCATGCAGATAAGGAAGTAAATTAGATTATATGACCCACTGCCTAGAGTCTTACTGGAAAAGAGAACTGACTTGGGATTGCGAGACATTCATCATCAACAGAACTGCTTGATTTTCAAAGGTTCATTAACCCTATATACACAAATAATAGAGAAAATGTTTAAACACAATTCATCACACTTAAAGAAACTGAAGACATCTCTGTGCACAGGCATGAAATCCAGCTGCATCTAGAAAGTCACCCCAGAAGGATTTGTTTGAATGATTTTAGACATCGCATGAGTGGTTGGCTTTTTGTTTTGTTTTCTTGCTTGGTTTTATTATGGGGTGTGGGGTTTTTTTGTTTGAGGCAGGGGAGGTTGAGGAAGGTACAGTCTGCTGCCATCAAGCTATTCTGGGGAAATCACTGAATTAAAACCAGCCTTTCTAAATACAATGCAGTCACTCTAAAGGTGTGAATGAAGCTCTGATTACACCATTTTCTACATCAAAACTTGCCAGCTGTGCTGTCCTTGTCTTGCTTTTAGTTAACAGGCTATTCTTTAAAGGCTGACAAGTATGCAGCACCAATTTGCATGTTCCACATACGTGTTTCTATATGTTCTGGATAGAATGATGCATGAACTAGCTAGATGCAATAGTTTCATCTGCTGTCTTGACATGTTTTCATTTTCTTAATCATTCTATAGGAGTTAATACATGTCCAGAAATGGGCACTTGTCATTTTGAAAATGACCTGTTAGTATCTTCAGAGGAAATCATTGTATCTCAGAATTGTGACTCCCAATGGCCTACTAGCACATACACAAACAGGAACAGAAACCAACTGATTGTACAACACAAACATGATTTGCCCATGGAGAAATCAAGGGTTCAGAGCACCTCAACACTATGTACTTAATTTTCTGAAAGATACCCAAAGACAGCAAAAGCAATGAGCACAGTGACATCAGTAATTGGAGTCAATCTTTTACCAACATAGGAATCACTGGTTAAAATTATCTGGCCTATTTTGTGCAGGAAGTGAAAGCAAATGATTGCAACGGTTGCTTCATGCCCTAAAATCTAAGAATCTTTATTTTTCCATCAGACCCATCATGATGGTATCTAAACACAGCTGATGCATTTCCTGTTTGCTATTGACCTCGCTACTTCCCATTTATACCAATTTGAGAGGTTTTTCAATAGTAAGGAACAAAGACAGAAGATTTATTTGATGTTTTCAGAGACAACACAGGATTTCTCACCTTTCTAAGTGGGACTAATCATGTGCGGGGGGCGGGGAGGGGAGGAAGAAAACATCATAGCTGCTGGAATTGCAAATTACAGCCAATTATAAAATGATTGATCTGCCTAAGCACTAACACGTATCTTACAACTCATGCTGTTCTGTTATGAGGGTTTTGCTTCCCTATGCATTTCGGACTGGGAGAATTTGGGGACATGTAGCAATTGTTCAGTAAAAATGATTCACAAGGACTCATGAGAAGGAGCTCTCCCCACAGAAAAATCAATACAGAATTAATAAAAACAGCATATTGTTCTTCACTAAGCAAACAAAAACACTGTATACACAAGTTGGTCTTCTCATGCATCCTCTACTTTTCTTTCTCCTTCTTTTAAACTAATCTTTGTTCCCTGAAGGATTAACCAGAATCAAATTGACCTGCCTGAGACTAATCCATAACATCCATCTACAAAGATTCTGTGCATTCCAAAAGAATGAATCTGAGCAGAGTTCATTTTGATGAACAGACCTCTGATTAAGCGACAGGCCTTCAGCGGCTTCCCAGACTTGGCCTACTTTAACATGTCCCCTCATTATACTCCGTCTCAGAAAGACACTGACAGGATGATGTCAGTATAAGCTCAATGTCTGATAGTAATAGCTGTATTAGAGAGGGAGATGCAGATTGGTGGGTGGAGACATTTAAGAAAAAATGTTGAACTGAGGAAAATACTCTAAAAAACAACCACTGCTCTTAGTGAAGTTACAGATGACTCTCAAGAACAAGAGAAGACACAGCAGAAGCAAAATGATGTTACGTTGCTCTTCATGTTGGAAATATTGAGAGTGGCGCTGATGGCAATAGGATGAAGATCAGACCAGGGATAGCCCATTGGGACAGTCAGAAGGAAGTGCAAAGTCACAGAAACCAGTGAAACTGCTGGTTTGGTTAAACAGAAACATTAGACAAGGTAGAGCCTGTTCCAAATTATGTGAACAAATTAATGCCAAACTTCACGTTGGGCTGCTTGCACACTCCCACATTCAGGCTACATCCCTGATAATTGTAAAATACTTGGTCATAAATAAGCTGATCTTCACTTCTTTTTGACAATTTAGATGCCTTGGATTAAAAGTTGGAAGCTCTAGGCCTTGTCGAATTGACGTGTATGGTATATAATCATATATACAGGGCACCAGTGTTTCAGAATCCACATCCATGCTAACAGAAATGGGAAATTTTCTATTTCATAGGAGAGACTGCCATCAGAGAAACTAAAAATAGACATAAATTTGCCTTATGGACTTCCTCCTACAGCCAGCCCTGTGGCTTATATCACTGTATTGTTAAGCTAAAACTGTATTTAATTCAGCAACTGCAGCTTTCCATAGATAGAAGTTAGGAGCACTTCTCATTAGGAATAGACTGTGAAATACATCTGAAAGAACTAAACCCAGTTATTTACAAACAAACATAGCACTTTGCTCTGAAGTCATAATTTACAATTCTAATATGCCACTAGAATAGTTCAGAAACATTCTACAACTTACTGAGAGGGAAAAACACTCCTTCCTTTTTGAAATTTTGAGCTGAATGACCTAGGTGACTTTGTTACAAAACAGTGTATCTAAACAAATCTGAAAGGGTTTTCAGCCCTTGAATGTTGCTGTAGATAAGTGAAACCCTAAAAAACCAAAAAAAAGCAGTAAGTTTGGATATCACTTCATTTATGGCATCATGGACACTTTAATAGTCATGCTTCAGACTCCAGAGTTCAAACCACGCCTCTTGCCTAGATGACACATGAGTTGCATCGAACTTGAAATGGTTTTAATTGTTTCTAGAAGTCTTACTATATAGAATATTATATGACTTTGTTTGCTGAGCTTGCTATCCAAAAAATACACAGCTGGATATCTGGGTTGTTCTCACATCTTTAGCTGGATGCCAAGAACATCCTTCAGGGAAAAAATGAGCAAGGTTTAAAACATACACGAAAGATAAAAAACAACCCAAAAGAGAGTCATGGAGAGCACCCAAGAGTCTGAACATGAGGAAGTTTACATGACCTCTAACAAAATGTCCTCAGCTAAGAAATTCTCAGTTGGCAATGATCAGCCTCGACATTTTAAATATCAGTCTCACTAAACGCCGATGCCATTCTCTCCATGAGACCATTTAACACCACTGACTCCCTATGGTGCACCTCCCAGAGGCTTCCAAGTCCACTGATTCAAGGACCTCAACGTTAAGTCATCACAAGATAAGCTGCCAACCCTTTGCACACCATCCTGTATTTCTATTGAGTAGCTGTTTTTCCAGATTTCCTCTTCCTCCCAAGCTTCACATTCTAGATTTTTCCCTCTCTTATTTTTCTCCCTTCCATAGTAAATGCTTCTACCTACACAGATCTACCTACTGACAAAAACATCACTAGAAACACATCCATGACTGACTTAACTGGCGCAAACACAAATATACCTGTTACTTTCTAATCTAATGCTTGCTAATCTAACTTTTATCTTTCATACAGGAAGTCTGTATGAAACTAAGTGAGCTAACTTTCAAAGCTCACAGAAAAAAATAAAGGCTTGTATGAATGGAAAGAGAAACTTCTGTTACTTAGACCACTACTGATTTCATCTTCTAGACCTATTTGTCTTTCAAATGAAATCTGCCCATTTGAAATGTCAGTCCATTCTAGCTCTAACACCTTCCTTTCTTTCATAATCCATTTGTTCTGCTACAATTTAGCAGCAGCCCATGCACCCAAAACGAACACTAAATTCTAACCTCTCAGAGTGATGCCGCACACACTTTCAACAGCATTTACGCATCAAGTAAGAAATAGAAATCCCTGTACGCAGTATGAGTCACTAAACTTCAGCCCATTAAACTGTGTAGCAAACTGCCTCCAGGGAGCTTGCTAGTCCTACATCATACCTCCCATCCTTCAATGTGGGACTGCAACTGTTCAAGGGCTTCCAGCTTCTCCATCTGTCTCTTGGTCTCGTTGATATTTGTGCAGACTGTCTTCATTGCCTGCAATGCATTCTGGACAGCTGGGTGATCAGGATGCTTAGAGGGAGTCCTCTTAGCCAATTCCTTTAAAAAAAAAGAAAAGAGAACATGCAACGTAAACTTAGAAGTGGCTCACGGAAAGGCACAAGCATTAGTGTGCAATCCCACAGGAAAATGCCAGAACCACTGCAAAAGTGAAGTTGTGGGCATGTTACTGTAAATGCTGTTCTTGGTTCTTCATCTGTGCAGGGTTACCATTTTATATGAATGCTGCTAAATAAATGAAGCAATCGCTTATGTTAAATATGCCAAATTAAGAGAGCTCAAGCCAAAGACATTCTTGTGTCACATACGTTTGCTTCCAGCGTGAACCACAGCCAAATAAATTAGAAGATTATGTAAAAAACACACTGCCCACTTCGAAGACATACGATGGACTGTTGACCTAGCCATGGTCTAGATGCTATACCAGCTCCAGTGATTTGCATCCAGTATTTCAGTGATGCTGGATTGGGCCCCTTTCATCAGGTAAAAATTCTGCCTACAGCAGGTCTTATCAGGAACCACTTAAGCTATGGAAGCGGGGTTTTCTGTGAACCATGACCTCAAAGGAATAATGCTAGGCCGTATACCCCACCCACAGTACTACAGAAATGATCAGGTGTAGATTAATCCCAACCCACATGAAGCCTGAGGACCTAGGTTGTTTAGATCTATAACCAGCAGAAAAATACAACCAAAGCGCAAAGCAGATTTACTGCCCTCATGAGAAGCCTGTCTCTCTCCACTGACCAGAGGGATTCCAGTGAGATGCCTCTCCTAACTCAGATACCTCAGCGTATCAGGTGTCTGTACCCAGCACTGGCAGGGGCCTCTGTGAGGGGAGGTGAGGGGCTACCCCGTGCTGGTTCCAGCCAGCTCCACAACAGACCCATAGCAGAACCCAGCTGAGCCAATAGGAGAAGCCAGTGGCACCTCTGTGAAAACACATTTAAGAAAGGGCCAAACATAGCACTGTAGAGAGGAAAAACATGTGAGAAGCAGCCCTGAGGCCTATACCAAGACCTGAGGGGAAGGCGGGGGGAAGGTGCTCCAGGCACCAGGGCAGAGACTTCCCTGCAGCCCCGAGAGAGACCAGGCTGGAGCAGGTATCTCCCTGCAGCCCACAGAGCAGACCCTGACAGAGCAGATACCCACACCGCAGCCTGTGGAAGGACCTCATGCCACAGCAGGTGGATATTCCTTGAAGGAACTGTGGCAGGCAAAGAGTCCATGCAGGAGCAGTTCTCCTGACAGGAACTGCAGCCCATAAGGTACCCACACAGGACAAGGTTTATCCTGAAGAACAGCAGCCTCAGGAGACCTCACACTAGAGCAGAGAAAAGTGTAAGGATAAAGGAGCAGCAGAGAGGAAGAGTTACATACTGACTGCAATACCCCATTCCCCCTGCACTGCTCAGGGCTGGGGGAAAATAGAGGAGTTGGGAATGCAAGAGTGAAGTTCAGCCTGGGGAAAACAGTGAGGGCTGAGGGAAAGGCATTTTTGTTTCTCACCACCCAGATATATTTTAATTCACAATAAACTGAGCAGGGTCTGTTTTGCTGGTGATAGTAATTAGTGAGTGATCTCCCTGTCTTTATCCTGATCCACAAGCATTTTTCCATCTTATTTTCTCCCCCACCCTGTCAAATAGCAAGAACGAGAGAGTGGCTGGCTAGGCAACCAGCAGCCAGCCAAGGTCAACCCACCACATGCGAGTAAATGCCTACAGCTCTGTGCACGATGAGTCTATGCTCAGAAATTGCAGGGAAATGCACTAGCCCCAGTTGTCCCATATTTTTATGTGTCAGGAAGTATAATAATAATTTTATGAAGGAGGAAATTCATTTACAGAAGAGTAACTAACTTGTCCAACAGCAAGTCACTTGCAGAACCAAGACCTTCTGGCATTCAGTTCAGTGTTTTAACTTCTAAGACAGGCCCATGGCAAGGCAAGAGGGCTCCCCAAAAGGCCAAGTGGGAAAAAGTGCTGGAGTGGGAAAGAGAGAGGCCAAGAGAACAGCAGGAGTTTAGCAGAGACTCAGGTTACATTTAGGAGGTTGGGGCAAATATTTTGACTGGAGAGATGAACAACACATCTGCTCCTAAGAGACTCTGCTTCACTTGATGCAATGCACAACAGCCCACTGAAAAACAGCAGTGGGAAAACTTGGGACCAGTTTGGCAAAAGGGGTAACCACTATCAACTCACAATTAATCATTTTTTAGACCAATAGTATTTTATAGTCAGCCACAATTGGATAAAAATACACTAAAGAAACCTTAACAAACCTTAACTAGGGATAGTAATTTTATCTTGATATATAATATGGTGTTTAAGACCCACATTTTTAGATTGCCTGGAATATTTAACTTTCTCACTATGTTCTGTTTTGCCTCAACATGTTATTTGGTTGTTTTAAAGTCCTGTGTCTAAATGGCAAACTGCTGCTGAGTTGCATCATTTTGCATGAGACCCAAGAATGAGTTTGAATACAGTCAGAGAGCCTGTATGGCCCTGTGGTCTGAACAGAGCCAAACTCTTCAATCCAGAGCTCCCACAGCTGAGGGCAAAGACAGCGTGTTACAGTTGTTCTTCATCCAGAATAAGTGATTGCAATTCCCAAACGCCTGTCATGGGCTCCAACTAGGCTTAATCTGTGGTTTGATTTGTTTTTTGATTCCCCACATCAACACATTAACCTAAACAAGTGTCACTTCACCACACAAAATTTTGCCATATGTGATCTTCATGCCATGCTGTCTTACTTGGCGCTGACATACTCTGATTTTAGGTATGGTCTGGAGTATTACTGGGGCTTGCCGTGCCAGAGCTGGGCACACAACCTGTAACACGAGCACTGCTCCTAATCTGAATTATGTCCACGCACCACCTCTAGATCAAATTAACTGGTACTTTTAGGTTCAAGTTACATGGCCTGTCAGAGAGTAGAGGGATGTGGGCTGAAGTTCAAGTTCTGCTGAAGCTTGCATTAACTTATAGTAACTATAACAGCTGCTAATCCAACCATTTTGCTAATCCAGACACTCTGAGCTGCTAAATCAAGGAACTTTCTCTGTCCTAGCGTTGATTCATAGATCTGCTGTACAAAGTTCTTTAGACAGAAGTCACTTTTAGCATGTGGCAGGTTTGTGCATACCTAGCCCTACTTTTCTACTAGCAGGAGTAACCATAGAATAAATAATTAGACTGTGAGGTGCTCAAGTACCAGCAAAATTGGAAAGCACACTGGAAATGAGAAAGCTAGAGCTAAAAGTAGTACAGGTTTGTTTCTGCCTTTGCACAGACACTCTCAGTGCTTCCTCACAGTGCTTGGAACAAGACTTTATTCACTAGCACTAGTAAACTATCTTGAGACCCAGTGTTACAGAAATGCAAAGTATTTTAATTATTTATTAACTTCTTGGTTTGCAGAACCTTTTAAAGTGAAATCTGCATCTTGAGATTAACTACTTGGCCACTGAGACTCCTTTAAGTAATGCAAGACAGGTCTCACGAGAATCAAAACACGGCCATGGGAGGTGCTTTCATTCCCACACAGACAGATCCTGGCTCAAATGAACTGATGGGAACATCGATGTTTGTCCAATGAAATATAACTATTCTAGATTTGATACTAGATTTGGTATTTTGAGAATTTACTCATAGCTACAATTTCTCTTTTCAGAAAATTATAAATAGAGATTGACAATGGCTCTTGTCAGATGGATGACAGGAGATGGGTAACGTGCTGACAGCTGGGAATCCCAGTAAGAGAGGAGTTAATGATCTTAAACTCTTGGATGATTTACAGAAGTAAAACATGCAGAGGAAAAAGAGGCTGGCTGCTACAAATGTCAGTTGATATCACAAATGAAATTCCCTATGAAAGCTTTTACCCCACTTTCACTGAAGATAAGGCCAAGGAAAGTCAATGTTCAAAAAGAAAAGGCAGGAGAGAAGTGTTGCCCCTTGGTGATACTAGCCTCTGCTCTCTGCTTCCAAAACAGAGTGCAGAATTTTTGCTACATGACCCTCATTAAAAATCAACAAAGTTCTGCGGCTCAGGTGTAACCCACACTACTTTGGAAACAGATACGTATTAGCATTGCCTAAACATCCCGTTCTGAAATACCACCAAGACACAGAGAAAGAACTCTTCCTTCACAGCAGACCTCTGCTGCAATACACATGGCATCCTCCCTGCTCCTGCGAGCCACCTGCAGTGCTGTCTATGAGCAGGAGAGGAGGCTGGGAAAGGCAGGGAGGGTGCTGGTTGGGGCAGGCAGTTGCCTCAACAGCATAAGCAGCAGAGACAGTCAGAGAACTTGTCCCACCACTGCCTAGTCTTAAGCCACCTGTGGAAGAGCCACGCTACTCTGACACTGCCATTCCCCTAAGAGCAGAGCCTAGTGCTTCTGAAATGCAGTCAGGGAGCTCTGGGTGCTTGTTTATTTTAGTAACAGATCTATGATGTGTAAACTCTGAGAACATTTGACAACACTGCAAAAGGTAGCTGAGTGACAGAGCAGATGGCAAACCTTGGGTATGACTGTCTTCCCTCCATAAAGCTCAAATATATTGTTGTCTGGAATCACCATCTTATGCATTGCAACTTGTGTACTAATAGGGCCAGAAAATGAGGTTGCTGCCATTTGCAGAAAACTATTCCTTGCACAGAATTTCTTAAACTAATTTATAACACACATCTACTTTCTAGCTACAGACTTGTTAATCCATCAGATTAACCAGCAGTGGAGAACAGAAAAGATGGTATTTTTCAGAGCCACTATCATCTTCACCATTATCCTCTGACTTTTCTTTTTGGAGGCAGCGGGGGGTGGGGGGAAGTTGCAAAGGTATATATCATATCATAAACTGAGGGAAAAAAAATTATCTGTTCTTTAAAGAACTAAGACAGAAATGGGAACTGTGTCCTCTGGGCACAGAATTTTCCTTTTATGTCACTCCTCTTTCATAGCTGCAAAGATTGAGGTCATGCCACTCATAACACCTACACACAGAACACAACTCATTTTACAA